GTGTTACATTTCACCCCAGGATATGTTACAACTAACCCAGGCTACCGCAGGCCCACCACCCGCAGGAGGCGCCATAGGGGTCTGGTGCATTGTGTGCCGGGTGGCGGCCAGGAGCGGAGGCCCTGGCGGACTGACCCCCGGCTGCCAAGACAAACTATAACTGAAGATAAATTAAACAATCATAACAGAGCATTTTAACTTTGAATTTTTGTTAGGAATTACTTTGATTTATGGATTAATGGCACAATTGTTAAACATGGTTTGGAGTTTGCTCCCTTTGTCTGCTTTTATGTTAGAGCATGAGTGATTTGCACAGCTTGCGCCTTCCCATACACCTGTGTGTGTGAGGGGGGTCACCATTAATGCCTGTCTTTAGCTTACATGCATTCTGGAAAAAACAAAAAAATAAAAACGTGAACATCCAGAGATTTTCACACAGGCGCACTCTCATTTTCATATTATTAATAATGATTTTAGTCATGGATGGAAATGGATTCGTCGTTTTGTAGCAGCAAACTTTGAAATGTGCTCTGGATCTTTCCCAGAGTTCACCTTTTTAAATTAGATGTGTGCTTTACTTCAGAGGTGCTATTTTCCCTGTGAAGATTAATTGTCACTATCACATTTACGCACACTGCGCTCACTGTTGAACGCACTCATATCTCCTGAACATTTCCATATTTTAAACACATCCGCCCGTCTGTACCCATCGCCCTTACCGGCCAGAGAACAGCTGTGCACTCTCACCTGGGGATGAACTTGGCCTGCTCGTTCAGTCTGCTCTCAAAGTCTTCCCAAGCAGCAGACGGGTCGCCTCCTTCTGACTCCATGTCCGTCTCGTAGCGGTCGTGAAATCCGCTGATGAACTCTTGCAGGGTGACAGTGCCGTCCTTGTCGACGTCCAGCTGGTCAAATATTCGGTCAGCCTCGGCTGCTGACACCTGTAGCTCTGCGCAGATTGTGAGAAACTCGTTTCGTTCGATCTGCCCGGAGTTGTCCACATCGTAGGTGTGAAAGAGGGACCGCAGCCGGTCCTGTTCCTCTGCGCTCATTCCCTTGATAGGGGGCTGTGGCTGGCTGGGGTAAAAAAAAAAGAAAAAAAGAAGGCGTTTCGGTAAATTACAATTACCACCGAGACGACGAAACCTTGAAACCTTACAGGAACGCCAGCGTTTTACTTTCCGGACACCAGGAAAAAACAAAAGTAGTCCAAACTCCAAACTTCCAGAGTTAATCCGCTCCTATCCAAACATTACCACAGCTGGTGTGCCCTTACAAAAGTTTTGATCAAAGAAATCCATTTTAAACAATCCAAACTATCATTAAAATAAAAGCATTTGCTCCCGCGTAGCCTTCACGCGAGATGTTACAGATTGTTGTAGCCAATGGCCAGCTGGACGGAAAAAGCTGCTGCGTCTCACTGCCTCAGGTAACGCGCCTGCCATCGCTACCTGCCAGTGTGATCACTCCCCTCTCTCTTCCTAACAATAGACCTCTGGGCTTCAGGCCAAATGAAAGTGGCTCTGTGGCGAAAGCCTATTATCGTTCTAGCTGAATAAACTGAAGTTTCTGTAACTGAGGGAAGAACAGACTGACACACACGTAGTCTAGATTTCCATTTTTTCCAGGCCCAAATTATTATTTGACTATTAATCACATTAAATAGAGGCGAATATTTAAAAAAAAAAAACATGTATACATAAATATTAATTTATTTATCTGTTTCAACACAATAATATTAACTGTTTGATAGTAGACTTTGCGTTTATATCATACTGAGGACCTTTCAAATTCAAATCAGTTTTATTTATATGGTTTCAAATCACTAAAACAGTTGCCTCAAGGCACTTTATATTGTGAGATAAGGACCCTACAAAAACATGGAGAAAACAGAGAAAACCTCAACATCAAGTGTTTGCTCATGATCACCTATGAGCAAACACTTGATGGCAGTGGCAAGGAAAAACTCCTGTTTAATAGGAGGAGACCTCCTGCAGAACCAGGCTCAGGGAGGGGCGGCTATCTGCCTGGGTGAGGGGAGGAAGACAGGACAAAAAACATTCTGTGGAAGAGAGGCAGTGATTTGTAACGACTAAACATGTAGAGAGTGAAAAAAGTGAGTGAGCAAGAAACACTCAGTGCATCATGGGAAGCCCCCAACAGCCTAAGCCTACTGCAATATAACTAAAGGGGGATGCAGGGTCACCTGATCTAACCATAACTATGTGCTTTATCAAATAGGAATGTTTTAAGCCGAATCTTAAAAGCAGAGAGGGTGTCTGTCTCCCGAATCCAAACTGGGAGCTGGTTCCACAGAAGAGGGGCCTGGAAGCTCAACACCCTGCCTCCCTGCTTCTACTTTGAAATATCCAAGGATCCACAGGTAAACCAGCAGTCTGAGAGCGAAGTGCTCTACCTGTTTGATATGGTACTATGAGGTCTTTAAGATGAGATGGCTCCTAATATTTTAAGATTTTGCATGAGATGGGAAGGATTTTAAATTAAATTCTGGATTTAACATGGAATTAATGAACATACACCAACATGGAAGAAATATGTTCTCTCTAGTCTTTGTAAGTATTCTCATTGCTGCAATTTCCCATTTCCACTGCAGTTTATATGGGAAAATACACAAAAATGAACAAAAACATACTAAAATACTCTAATGTTACACTAACAGGTATCATAATGAGCCTGACGTCCTTGTCTTATAAAGTAATCATTTACAACAGGTTAAAGAAACCTCACATGTAGCTTTCAGATTGCTAAAAAGTAATTGCACCTTCTACCTTGTGATTGAAATGCTGTTTCTACATCAAAATTACTTTATTTGTTCATCATCTTCATCACTTTTTGGCACACTGGCACATTTGCCTGATTTTCCTGCTCTGCCATGGTAACACAGCCCAACCTACTCTTGTTATCTAAGGATTGTTTCCTTGTGTGAAAAACATTAGGATCCATTGACAAAAAAGCTAAAATTTGCGTGCAGTACGTGGAATACAATGAAGTCACCAAGCACATTGTTCAGTTTTTACTGCCTATGGCAGGTTAAGCAGCAATCCTCCAGCTGGATGCCCACTGACCTGATTTTACAGACTGCTCTGTAAACCAGATACCTCAATCGCATATCTTACAAAATGTGACAGCTGTGATATTGTTAAATTTTGTTTAACACACAAAAAATCTAGATTAGTACATCACACTTTGTTCTTCAGTAAAAATCAGGTTAATGAACCAGATTATTGGTTATGCTTCCTGTTTAAGGACATGTCAGCAATGCTTGGTCCACATTTTCATAAATAAATTGTCATCTAATTTATCTCTATATTCAGCTTCCTGTCAGGTCAAAGTATCAGTTTCTGTTATCCTAAACTACACGATCTGTACCCACAAGAATAGTTGGATTCAAACCTTTCATAAATCCTACTCTACCATTAAAGAAGACCGCCCCATGCAGGCATATTTTACACATTTTGCTATGACAAGTTGCTGTTAGCTACACTCAGAGCACTCAGGCCTTTCACCTCTCACCTGGACAGGACCTGCTCTTTTTTATCCCAAGCTGAGGAGTCTGTGTCTTCTTCAGCATCATCTTCTTCCTCCTGGTGCTGTTCTTTGAAGCCACTAAGGAACTCCTCTAAGGTCACCGTGCCATCCTTGTCGACATCCAGGCGATTGAAAATGCCTTCTGCTTCCTGGGACGAGACGTGGAGTTCTTGGCAAATGGTGTTGAATTCATTTTTTTCAATCCGCCCAGAATTATCCACATCGTAGGCATGAAAGAGAGAGCTCAGGCGCTTTTGTTCCTCCTCACTCTTTTTCTTTGCTGCTGCCATAGTTTTGTTTTTAATTTCTGCAGCAATCTGGCTTTTAGATTTGAAAGCGAGTATTTGCAGATAATAAAAAGAGCGAAAAAAAGTACTAGAAAAACAGGCAGAGCCTACAGGAGTTTAGCTGTTAGGTAAAGTGAAATTAAATTCAGAGCTGGATTTCCATTTGATAGTTGATAGCCAGTCGTAAGGTTAAACCCCATTGTTGGAAGGAGTGTGCAGCTCCAGGAATAGACTCACTCCTTCTGATATGTTTCTTTTATATCCTCCCCCTCCCGTCTCTCTTTCTTTTTTATAGGCATGCAATACTGATAATAAACTATTTTAGGACCATAAAATGTGGTGTTGCAAATGCTGTTAAACCAAACAGCATCAAGCAAGAATCCTAACAGTGTGGCCAAAATCTGCAAAACCAGCAACTGCATAAAAACAGCACTTTTTTGTGTTTTGCCCTCAAACAAGTTAAAAGTAAACCCTCGGTATTGTCTTATTAAAGTGCCACTGCTGATGTGGTTCCTCCTTTGACTTTGTAACATAGTTGGCCATTCACAGCATATGAATTATGTTTCCTATCTTTGATTATTAGTACTCATTGGAGCTTTTATTGGAAGGCTCTTTAAACCTGGAGTCATACTAGTGCAAAACACACTGCTAGTCCTGCTATGATGATACCAGCAATGCTACACAGGAATGCAAATTATAGAAATTTGAAAGTACTCCTGCATCTTTTATTTTTGCTAATTCCATGTACAATATCATGCCTTTGTAGCCAGACTGTAATCTTTACATTTTAATGTAAAATATAATCAGACATATTATTAAACCCATTGCCCCCATTTCATGTTTTATAAACAGTTTATTAAATCTTAGTATTCTTAGCTTCTGTTTTTAGTTTATTTTTAGTTTATTTGACTCAATTCAGATGAAAAAAACAAGCTCACAGTTTTGCTCTAAGTAGCAGTAACCCACTACACCACTACAAAGTCAGCGGCACATACAAACAAAAGCAGTTTTTTGTTTGTTTTTTTAAATTTTAAGTTGTAAAATACGATGAGATGGGTTTTTACCTAACAACATTAACCTGAGTTAAAAGTAGAAAAACAAGCAGCCTTTTAAAAAATTCCCGCAAAGTTATATAATGACAGAAAATATTTAATGCTTAGACGATACACCCTTCAGATTTCTGCACATCTGATAACAATCTTTAAACGCATGCAGTCAAGCACATATACCGGTATTAAATGCTTTTTAGTCATCCTTGAAAATAGTCCCTCAGACCATGGCAGACCTCATTTAGCCTGTTGCTCATGTAATAGCATAGAAAAATAAAACTAATAATGCTACATACTTGGCTAAATCAACATTTCCCTCTTTGAGTTGTTCAATAAATATTTCGTGGAGATATAACTGTCAGGGTCAGGACAAAGGGGAAACATTAACGGTGCTGTTCACTTCTTTGATCTCGTGTTCAGTGGGTAGATGTGCACAGCCATAGAGATGAAGCACCTTCAGCCTAAAAGGAGACAAACATGGAACCAGATCATATGCATTTTTCATATTTTGTAACTACAGAAAGACATTTGATTTGGGTATAGATTGCTCCTTTATTCTGCCATGTCACTCACTTATTAGATCACTAGCAGCTGACTTTCATATTTTCGAATAATTTCCACCAATTAGATCATCATTGCATTAATTACTGCAGTGCTGACATGCTTTATTTTCATGGTCAGTTACAGTGTGCTCATGATAAGATGGAAGGAAAGTCTTTTTTTTTTGCAACTTTCGTAACTGTCATATGCTACGAAAACATCACAGAGTTTCACACTGCATAATCATGTCTCAGCATGTAATTTGTTTAGTGTGGCACTCATATATGGTTTTACACTCGTATGAACTTCTAAAAGATTGTTCAATTGAATTTAGGAGACAGATACAACATAATGAGCAGAGTGTCAACTCAGGCAGACCCATTAAATGGAGCCCACAGTCCTGTGACATCAGCTGACCTCAGTGCCTGTCCTCAATATTTGATGGCTCAGCTGATATCCTTCTGCACATATTATTAGGACATTTTATAAAAGGTTCACTATTTAAGTTGTCCCAGTCTCCCCGCTACATCCCCGATTCTCCTTTTCGTGTGACACAGCTTCACCAGATGCTACTAGATAAACTACAGTCCATCCAGAAAGTACTTTTTTTTACACATTTGATTGTGTTACAGCCTTATTCTACACACACTGCCCATCATTAATAAACATCATTTATATATGAGCTAATTATAATTTTATCCTGTAAAAGGTCATGGGGGGTGAACCTAATGTGTTCGTGTGTGCTACATTTAGAACTGCAACAGTGGAAAACCTTTGACATTTAAATATGTAGAGAAATGAATAGAAATTGAGTTTGAAAGCGTGTGAAGAGCAGCTACTGCAACCTTCTGAAACACTGTATTGATACGTCCTTGTGTTCATTCTGCTCAGTGGAATTAATGGCAGTACACAGTGACTCTGCATTTTGTGCAGAGAATAAAGAAACATCTTTGAATGTGTGTTTTTACCTCTTGCAATGTTGGCAAAGCTTCAGTATTTTCTTTACGGTGATGTGGCAGAAACTGAGTTTGATGGTATGAAGATGTCTGTTGCAGTAATTTGCTAGCAGAGAAACCCTGGGTCACATCATGCATGCACAACACACACACACACACACACACACACACACACACACACACACACACACACACACACAAACACACACACACACACACAGGTGAGGGTTCACTTGTTCGTCACTGACACTAGCACATTGATCACATGTGGTGAGACGTGCTTTGTACCCTCTGTTTCCGGTGCTGGTGGAGCTGAGATCCAGCTGCTGAAGTCTTGTGCAGCCCAGAGCCAAAGACTGAACACCTGCATCTGTTACTGCTTTACAGCCACTCACATCAACAGCTCTAACTCACACAAACAAAAACCCACATGGATATCATAGATGTTAATTGTTATGTCAAGTATGAAAATATGAATTTAACTTTTTATTTTCTAAAGTAAAACATATTTTTATACAGTTCCTCTGGCCGGTTTCTATTGATAAGAACACCGCTGGCAACGCTTGGTTCTTATTAATTATGTGCACTTTGCTTCCCTTTGCATATGTGTGGATACCTGATACAAGGTGAATATTTGCTGATGCTATGCAGTGTCAGGTCAGTGACTCCAGGACAGGAACTGAAGGACAGACTCTGAAGTTCAATGCAGTTCTGGAGCAAAGTATCAACTATGGCATGAGTGACCTGTTAGCGGCAGGGACTACGTTTAGAGCACTATTAAAGACAGAGCTGCAACTCCATAAACATTCAATGTGTAGATTCAGATTGAGTCACAGAAAACTATCCACCTGTAGTCCTGTGAGATTCAGTGAAATGAGGCTTTTGAGCCGTGCTGTCAACCCAGTGAGGCTGTTTACGGTGATTTTTGGCACTCGTCCGATGTTTAGATGCTGAAGGCCGGAGCACATCTGGATATGAAGACATGCAAAAATGTACAAGGACTTACTTTTTCACATGCTAAATCATGTTTAGTAAATGAAGCTCTGCAGAGCATCATAGTTTTTTTTTTTTTATATTAATAGTATGTGTTTTTAACTGTTATATCAAAATTTAGCACCTCATATACTGTCTGTAGCCAGGATGAAGTAAGGAACTGACAGCCAAACACCTCCAACCTGCGCAGGCTAAAAGACAATGTTGTAAACACCAAAAACAACAACATGACAATCTTGATGTGGTGGTTATTTAATGTCCTTCTGATAATCACATCTCATTCTTCACGAGACGAAGTGGTATTTATTTCAAATAATAAAACCATTCGGTGTCCAGGAATTCAAACTAAGTTTAAAATAAGGATTGCGAGGATTAACTAAGGATTATCTGAAACATAAGAGCAGCGTCTTTCGAGGCTTAGACTTGAGAATGTGAGGTGTCAGCCACTAAAAGCCGTTATCAGAATAACATTATAATTTTTCTCTTTGATGCAATTCTCACAACTCCTCCAGTTATTAATTCAGTTAAGTCAGAGGTTTCAAGGCCTTTTATACCAGTGGCCACAACAGCCCACTGTGATCTTAAGTGGGCTGGACCGATGAAAATCCCCTTTCTGTCAGTGCAAAGACATTTAATTCCTGCAATATCTCAATAGAAGAAGAAGTGCAAATTTAACAGTGCCCTGAAATTCTCTGTCTGACAGAGAGACTGTATTTCATGTCTGAAGTGTAATTCATATTTCAACTTGACTAAACTAAAACTCATCTGACAACCACTTGAAGACATCCCCCCAAAAAACCCTTCATGCACGATATTTACAAAGACAGTTTATCCAGAGACAAACATGCACGTGCATTATGGGACACTTTCTAACCCCCACCTAAGCCTACAGTGTAGCATGAGTTACACCACCATTAGCAGTAAATGTGTTAATAGGGAAGGATTCTGACCTGTCTTTGTGTTTCAGGACAAGTTCTTTCAGTGGGGCATCAGTGACTTGACAGCCATTCAGGACAACAGATTTTAGGCTATAGAAGAAGAAACAAAGTTATCCGCCCATGTCAGATTCTTTATCTGGTATTATAACAGAGGTTAAGAAACTGGATGGACTGATTTCAACAAACACTTGGCATCAGTGGGAAGGGAAACTTAACAGTAATAAAACTCAGGCAAAACCAAACTCATGGAAGTGCGAACATCTACCAGTTGTGGATGGGTGCATAGATGGACAGACCCACAAATATGAAGATATAATATTTTCACCATACAACATGCCCTTCTTACTCTGAGCACAGTAAACAATTCAACATGTAAAACATATTTTTCACTTCACTAAGATAAAAATGACAAGAAGTCAATTATACACAACCTGTGATCAGCACAAAAATCATCCCTTCATCATTTAAAATGATGACATTTTTTGGAGTGAAGGTTTTTACTTTGTTAGAGGTTTAGAGGTTAGGTCAAGGCAGTTAGTGGGAGTTGTTAGGGTCACTGTAACATCCTCCTGTGTGTGTGTGTACTTGTTTAAATGTCTTCATGAGGACCATAAATTGGCCTCTCACTGTATTCATGGGGACCAACAGTCAATGTGGGGACTAAATCCCGGATTTCATGAATTTGAAGGCATGCTTAAAATTTTGTATTTAGGTTATGGTTATAATTAGGTCATGGTTACTCAGTAAGCCGTGAAAACAAACATATGTGTGTGTTTACTGACCCTTTTCTGTAATCCGTCAGAGCCTTCACTCCTGTGTCTGTTGCTCCACTCCAGCTTACATCCACACTAGTCACGTGATCACAGCACTGACTAATCACTGACAAAATTTGATCACCATGGAGACCAGGACCAGTACAACTTGTGACCTTGAGTTCCTGAAATGATCGCATGACTTTATATTCACGATATTTGCACTGCTGTCACAAAGTACTGATGTAAGCCGCAAAATATCACATTTTACACACTTTACATCTATGAGACTTGTGACCAGTGATGGAAGATGCATTCAGAGTTTGGGTTTAATAAAAAAGTGGCAGCACAAAAAATAGATAATGAATGTGATTTTTTTTACATAACAGTCAGACACAACTCTAAGTTATTTTCACAGCCTTTCAGCAGAACTTCCAATCCTTCATGCCACCTCTGCATGATTATCATTTAGTTATTTACTCTATTGAATCATATTTTTGTATTACTTTTCTTGTTATTGGATTTTTTTTTTTTTACCTTAAGCGAATTCCTACACAGTGAGAAAAACATCTGCAGCCCACTGGAGCAGACAGAGAGGCCACTGCAGCTATACAGAAACAAACTTCGAGGACAACGTCTGCCCACACACAGCAACCACTGGTCAGTTAGAGCCGAGTTTTCAAGCCTTAGATTTTTCCCTTGAAGGAGGAGTAAAACATAAACTTTTGTTTAATGTAAGCAGCTTTTTTGTTCATTCAAAACTCTGAACTGTAGTTTCTATGCATGACTGTGCAGGTCAGTGTAATCATGTGTATGTTTGTTCAGGGAGCAGTAGAGCACACAGCTGGAAGCTCTTACATCATGAGAACGTACCATGTGCTGCTACTTGGAAAAGTTTAGAAAATCCCTCTGACATCTGTCCTGTGTTCGATCTGAATTTTAGCAGAATGATACTAAAATCTAGCTGAAGTGTTTACCAAACTACAGGTTCACTCACACAGTGAGTGATCAGATGCCAGTGCATGCAGGCGGTGGCAGACCTGCACCACTATGGATAAATCCCTATGAGGCAGCAGAGACAGGATGAACAGCCACACCTCATCAGGCAAACACAACCAGCGGTCTCTTACAGGGACGCCTGCTGACTAGCAGGTGTAACGACACCACAACATGCAAAACAGAAAGTAGAGGGATTGTTTTAACAAGACACTGTGAAATGTTACAACCAATGTTAAGATTATTACATTAAAACACCAGATAGACTTGGGTTTAAAAAACTGTTTAAAAAAAAGGCTAAAACTATGTGCGCATGTAGTAAAGATTTCCTACCTGGTATTCAAAGGTATTGTCCATAGTGACATCCGTGGCAGAGTCTGTAAGTGTGAATGAAAGTTACACATTGTCAAAGGAGCTTGGAAAGAAAAGCGTCTGGACTTCTTTAAGTCCAGACGCTTTTCTTTCCAAGCTCCTTTGACTACGATGACCTGGATGACTGAGAACCTTCACAGACAAAGTTACACATTATATTCTGATGTAAAAACAGCGCTAATTCTGAGCATTTACTTGGTTAAAAAGTGAAACGCATAAGTAAACATTATATTGGCTTGTTAACCAGAATGTCTGATAAAGAGTGAAATGAATTATACATAAGTTTCAACAGTTGGAGCAAATTTGTCATGTGAGATGTTGGTGACTGAGCTTTCCTTTGATCTTCTGTTTTTTATAGCACTTTATCATCTTTTTGCAGTTTTGTCTGTAATTTTGATGTCAAGCTTACACTCACATGATGTAAGTCCAGAGTCATCATGATGAAGAGTGTGTGTCTGTACAGGTGGCGGGATCAGATTCAGTTTCTTTGTGTACTTGATTGCTTGTTGATGTCTGCAGGAGACAAAGGGTGAAATTCAACTTCTCATCATCACACACTAGACAAAATTATTTGGCTATTAAAATTAAAATTTGGTTCATATGCCCTTAGATAAGAAGAGAAAAGTGTACATCAGGAGAGCGTAGACGTCTGGGGAAACTTAACAAGTTTTTCTAGTATAAACTTGTTCAAAGGTTATAAACAACTCTCCACACACTAAATTAGCTAACCTTGGAAATCTTTCTCCCAGTGAATTATCAGTGAGGATCCAGCGAGCTCTATCTCCAGCTCTATTTTTTGGATCTTTGAGAATCCTCTGATGGTCTGTACTGTCTGGATGATGTCTAATCCTGTTTTGAAGCAAACCTAACCACAGACACAAGAGGGGGGAAATACATATTAGCAAACTGCTTAAACCTTTTCATCTCAGCATTCCTTGAATTACAGTATTTATTTGTAAAAAGCCCTTGGCACCTTGCTGTAGAGCACTTATGAGTTATAAATAACTCCATGACAGGCTGATTTGTTCTTCCAAGGATAGAAGTGAGGAAATTTAGTTTTTGATAAGAAACAAAAAAGGAATGAAAAGCCAAACGTTAATGTCCAAATGTAAAACTTGATCATCTTTTTTTCTGTCCTGTTTATCTCATAACCTAAGGGTTCATTTCATGACAAAGTGAAAGCATCTTGACACCTTGATAGTAATAATTAGCAATGCCACATTTTTAATCTTTTGAAACAATTTAAACTATAGCATTTTAAAGAAACACCCATCCATCTGTCTTCTTCTACAGATGGATGGATTTGGATGGTCTTGGTTTGACTGGAGCCCTTTCCAGCTGTCATAGGGTGAGGGATGATGAGGTACACTCTGGACAGGTTGCCAGAGACAGTCATTCACACTCATGTTCACATCTAGGGCCAGTTTAGAGTCAGTAATTAGCCTAACCTGCACATAATTGGGCCGTGGGCGAAAGCCAGAGAACAAGGAGAGAACATGCCAGGAGAGACTCCACACAGAAATGCTCCAGTTAGCTGGTGGATTCAAACCCAGGACCTTCTTGCCACCACACCACTGTGCTAACTGGACTGTTATTTATTAGATTTTTCATCTAATTGACTATAGCTTGAAATATTGAACTAATACAATTTTTTAATATTCTTTTTAAATTCTGTAATTTTGATGTGGATTCACTGGAAAATCTAAATTTTCCAACTATATCTTGTCTTTTAAAGGGTTATAGGAACTGAGTAACAAGACTCAAACATCATGACAAGAGGACTCCATATGAATGGAAACCAAAGTTAACTACCAAAGTAAAACACTAAATTAGTAAGGATAAATAAAACAAGAAAACTCAGTAGTAAGCTTGACATGCAGGAAAGACAGATGGAAAACAGAGGAAAACACTAAAGAAATGATTCATTAAAGTTCAAGCTGTAACTGGAACAAAGAACTAAAGACTCAAAATACTGAGAAAATAAAAGAAGATTAAAAGGAAAATAATAAACAAACTAAAGGCCAAAATACAAGGTCCATAAACTCTAAACTCAGGGTCCAAACACCCCCGGACCATCAACACACGTCGACTGATTGCATACAACATATATAACGATTTCCATACCTGGGTTAGAAACAGGAGCAGCATCCTTCTCCACACAGTACACATCACCTGGCTTGTTCTCATCATTCGAGGCTCTCTCTTCTGCAGTTTCCTTCATAAAAGCTGTAGGTGTTTGCTTCACAGTCAAATTGCTGCAAGATTTTGCACTTCTATATTCGCTAGGAGTTTTCTTGGTGCCATGTGAGCTCCTCTCCTCTGCGCTTTCTGCTGCGGTGGCTCTTTTGCTTCCTGTGTTGTTAACCTGTTTTTTAATCTCAGGATTTGTGATGTAAGAGTTCAGTTCAAAGCAAGACCCCGGACAAGCTGGAGCTTTAACATAATCGCCCATTTCTCCAGATGTCGTCCCCTCTTTCACAGGTGACTCAGGCTTGAAATGCTGGCTTATTCTGAGGTGATTTAGCTGAGCCACACATAGCTGGTACTGCTCATACACACTCAAGTTTAATGACGATTTCAAGGGATGGATAACATGGGAATTAGCTGTTTTTGCCGTCTGCTCAGGTATCATCTCTGGCTCAGCGAGGCTTATTTGACTATGTGTGTGATCTGAACTGGATTCCTGTTCTTTTCTATAATTTCCCTCATTCCTGTCATCTTGTAGTTTCTCCTTCTCATTTTCTTCCATCCACTTGTCCTCTTTGCTCCGTACCTTTTGACTTTCTGACACCTCTCTTTTAGCTCCAGCTCTTTTAGAAGTCATGCCACTGAAATTGTTGCTTTCATCTAGCGGTTTTAAGATATTCACTTCACTGTACGCGGAGCTCTTTTTACAAATGGCATTCCTCCCAGATGATGTGGACTCTTTGATCAAGTGTGTTGCAGCATCAGATGTGAATGTGTGGTCCCTTTGATTAGACATGTGAAATCTGTTTGTTCTGCGGTAGTCTTGGCTAGAAATGTGTTTATTGGTGGCATGTTGTTGCTCTGTGCTTTTTATATTTTCAGTTTCAGTATCAGGCCAATTTTCCTCCTGTGTCCCTGGGGAAAAGGAGACTGGACTGTGGAGGTCATATGAAAACTTATAGCTACAGGAGCTGGTTAGATCATTTAAAGATCTGGACTGACAAGTTGTTTTCATACTTGATCCTCCCCCATATACCTCACGAGCACCGGCATCAAAGGAAACTGGATGATGATATTTAGATCCAGATGAATGTTTGGGTGAGATTTTCTTGCTTCCTTTGTTTTTCATATTGTTTATCAAACTGTCAGCTCTGCAGAGTTGATGGCAAATCACTGAACCACTGCAGAGATATCTGTTAGCCCAGTCCAACACATGCCTGAGCTTCTGCTGCTCGCTGAAGAGAGAGTCACTGAGAAGATGAAGGCTCAGCTCCTGGTTGATACTCTGCCTACAGTTCCCAACATCCTCCAGGAGTTCAGACACAGCACCTTTTGTTGTAGTATTTAGATCTGGCATTTGAAAAGATGTCTCTTCTCCAGTTGCATCCATTATTGCATGCTTTAGTATTTCGCCTTCCTGTGCACACCTTAATATGTTCTCTGTAAACGATCAAGTTATTTACATTAATGGCAGAACAGTCCTGTTTATTAGAAGCAAAACAAATGTTTAATGCACACACTATGCAGAACATATTGAACACATCAACATACAATACGCTGAAAAAGTCACCCCTCATTTCTTTATATTTTGCTAGGACAATGGGAGATCATGTTCAATGGGGGTCATGTTGAAGAATGAAGTTGTTTCCAATCAAATGCTTTTCAGAAAGTTTTACAAAGTGTATCAAAATTTGATGGCACTTTTCGGCATTCACAGTTTCATCAGTTAAGAAGACATTGTTAATACAACTGCTTGAAATGCACTCCTAAACCGTTAAATAGCCTCCACCATGTTTTACTGATGGCTGTAGATACTCACTGTTGTGCATGTTTTCTGACCTCCGTCATACATACTGACAACAGTTTCAACCATGAATGTCAAATCTGGATTCCATCCATTTCCTTCTACCTATCTAGTTCAGGGTAGCAGCTGGGTGGGCGTCTATGCCAGCTTTCATGGGGCAGAGGAAGGATACACCCTGGACAGGTTTCCAATCTATCAAGAGAGAGATAAAATCCACATTTATACTTGTGGTCAGTGTGGAATCATCATTTAATCTAACAGCCAGGGGCAGGCCGGAGCACCTGGAGACGATACGTAGACTTCACAAAGAAAGGCTGGAGAATTCAAACCCAGGATATTCTTGCTCTGAGGTGAAAGTGCTAACTACAGCATTGTGCTACCAAAAATTTAGATTTGTTTCTCCATTAGACTTGTTCCACTGATTTTCAGTCCAGTTCTAGTGTCATTTGGTGTACCTCAGCCTTTTGCCCGTTTACTCTTTTTACAAATGGCTTCTTGATAACCAACCCTCCACTTGTTTGTGAATGTGTGATTGGTCCACTTGGAGTTTTTCTGTTTCCTTTTTTTTATTTAAACGCAAACTGTTTGATATTTTGCAATGACCCTGATGAAGGCCACAAGCCGAAGCGCATTGGTCACCTAATAAAGTTGTTCCCTAATTCTTCAAGTGTTGCTGGAGTCTTCACATCATCCAACCTTTCACTGAGACTGTTTCCAATCAGGCTTTGGTGAACAGCAGCTGGATCAACTAAGGGAAAAATACATCTCTCAGATCTTTTGCTTTTTCCTATTTCTTACAGACACAACTTTCAGATACTGTTCATTTTCTGCAGCTAGTTTTTTAAGCCTGCAGTTTCTTCTTTTGTCCTCTGCTTGTCCAGTTTCCTGGTTTTTTTTTTTTGTTTGTTTTTTTGGGCAGAGACACCGTGCATCAATCAAAAATATGCCAGGTTTTCGGCTAATAGCTTGTTGGGAAATACCTTGTTGGTGCAAATTATACTATCAGACTGCATTATCACACAACCCTGGTTTACTGAAAAAGTGGCCAATGTCAAAAAACCCCAAACCAAATAAAAAAAACTCAAAAGCCTGGAGAACTTTAGATGAAGATAGAAGAAACAAGAAACAAGTGTTGCTCTCCAACATCCACTCTAAGAATTACATGGTTTGGCTATTTTTGCCACAAAAACAACAGCTTTAGTTTGAACCAGTTTAAGAGAATAATCACTCTTACCCAGAACTCTTTCCCGGCTTGTATTTTGATAGTTCCAGCCATGGAAAACATAAGTAGCATCTAAAACACATGAAGCTCAGGCTGCAGTAAAGCTCTGAACACACCCATGGAAGTCTTGTGTTGCTCACACAAATATCACCATAGAGATCTCAACACAAGCTGCAGCAACTCCTTTTTACCACAGGAGGGAGGCAAATCTCTGACAAATTGGGAACATGATTTATTAGGATATTAGCAGGAATAACTCGCACAGTAATAACAACATTTCAATGTATGTTCATCAGGGAGCTTTATTGTGGCAGTATTAACATATAAAACAAACCATGTTTTCTGTTATAACATACAAACATTCAAAATGTTCACTTCACAAAGTTCATAAGGCTTGGTTGTCCCAGTAGAGAGGGGGGGTCGTTACTCGAGGGATGGTTTTCCCCTTTTTTTCTGACTCTTCCTAAATCAAATCTCCCAGAGTTTATTATTAAAAGTGACAAAATGACAAAAAAGAAACAACAAAATGACTTGACTAACTGATAAAACAACAAAACAATCAGATTTAACAATAACAATCAAAACAATACAGGGACCGTGCAAGAGATTCTGCTACTACTGTACATGCCCACACAACACTGAAACAATATACAGTTTATTTTGCTCTACCATGTGATGTCCAGTAGTTTTGCATATAGTAGACCTGAGTTCAAATATTTAAAATCTTAAATAAATGAATTAAAACATGTATTAGTGTATTCGGTTGTGTATAGTAGTTTTAAACAATCTGATTTCCAAGTGTTAGTTCAGCGTTCTTGCTGTTAACTTTCCAGATATGTAGACAGGCAGTTAAATTTAAGGTTTGTAAATACTTGACTCATGCCGGTATCTTCTGAATTTGCACTTAGACGTGACATCAAATTGTATGTGATTTTTTTTTACTTTACTATTTTTTTCTTTATCACAGTTTTCTTTATAATTAGGCAACAAAAGTTGTTCTCCCAGTCCATCCTGTATGCTGTTTGTCAATAGCAGAAACCCAAGTTCTGTAGCTAAAAAAAGAGAGCTGAAAGTGGTTCAATTCCCCTTTTCTTAAAGGGTGTTAATGTATAAATGAGCTACAGACTAACATAGTGCTACAGTATCAAATAGACCCCAAAGGCCTTTCTGTTGTTTGCAATGAGTCAGTGGTTGATTCTAATTTTCTAGTTACAAACTAAAGATCTGAGCAAGTTGGAATTAATACTTTACAATTAGTGAGATTAAATTCATTTCTGTGAAGTGAAAGTGAATGAAATCTAGCCTTGCTAATGGCATCAGTGGCTAATATGCTAGCATGCTCTGTTAGCAATGAGGTCTGGCTTTAATGATGTACAAGCACACAGCAAAAGCACAATGTAGCTAACTAGAGGAGCTACTCTTCATCTGATGAGAATATTACTTAAGTTAACACAGTTAGCAACCACCTGTAGTATATGTTGAGAAGTGAGTGACTAAAATTAAGTCCAAAGATCACTGCAAAGTGGTTTTTGGTTTCAAAAAGATCATCAGTTTCTCCTCTTGGTAAAAACACAGAGAACATGCATTTGTCTATGATGGTTGAGACAGCCAAGCCTGTAATCTACAGTGGATTGCTTTACACAGACAAGACACACAGAGGAAAGAAAGAAAGGAAATCTTTTTCTTTTGCCACAGCTATAAACACAGTATTTACAGATGAAGGGCATGCAACTTGCACTGAGAGGTCAGCAAAAGGAACCAAAAAAGATAGATTCCCTGGTTTAACTGCAGGAAGGTGGAGCACAGAAATAAAGAACCAAGGCCTGCATCTTTAGAGCCGTGAAGAGTCTTTTAATCTGTGGTGAATCTCTTGAGCACTTTGATGCCTGTGCATACACGCTATGAAGACAGAGATTATGGTGATCATTTAGCAGTGCATACAGATCAGCTTTGTTCACTCAAGTGAAGGCATTTTAAAAAAAAAAATCTCAGAATCTGCAGCGTTAGATGCAAACATCTTCATCAGAGTCATTTGGCCCTTTGCTCAGTTTCACCTTTGAAACATGTGCTGTAGTAGGAAAATAAATGCTTTGTCCTCAAATAAACTTGTTCCTGTTGTTACTGCATATCTGCTATATATGCATAAAGCTTGTTAATGCATAAAGTCCACAGTTACACGACAACACGGCTGATAACATGAGGCAGAATAAATAGAAGAGAATGTGAGGGCTGTGCACTGCAGAAGCCTCTGTAGCAGCTCACTTACAAAGACTACAAGGAGTGGAAAAATCAACTTTAAGTGATGATTTTGTAATAGACCCTCGAGACTGGCTCGAAATTATACTGTGTAGCCATTCCCAGTTTTGATAGTAGTGCAATGAGCATTGAAGTTTATCTATGAAGGCCAAACTGCACGTACAGGCTCTCAGAGAAGGAGTTTTGTGTAGTATTTTAATGAAACTGACATGGATGCATACATTAGTTATGTGAAATTATGCTACAACAACACAGACAGTCAGCCAACATATTAATGTCTAACTTCACCTACAGTGCTTGGTTATTCTAAATAGCAAGACATATGAGATAAAGGTTATGGATAAATTACATGGTGTGTATATGCATGTTTTTTTTTATTAATGACTTTTTAATTTTTTAACATAAACTGCATAAATGCCCTTTCCTGAGAAGTTGATCCAAATCAAACTACATTTCGGACACAACTACATCTGTTTTCATTTGATCTGAAGCCATTTAGCATCACTTTCATTCAGAGTCACTATGTCGTAACAGACAGCCATCGTCACAGGTTCAACCAACAAGTTGATGGCTGTAAGGTCCAAAAAGTAAACTTTTACTTAGTGACACTTTTGAGATCATCTATACAGACAGCACACACACAGAAACCTTGGCTTGCTTTATATTTGACCTCACCTTTTATACTTTCATGGCAGACAAATGTGAATAATTTCTAAAATCCTACACTCTGATCCAGATCAGTTTTCCTGTGTATACATATAGCAGGATGTCACTTCCAATGACTTGAGTTGATCCTAAATTTACACACCAATCAACAACAAGTTACAGTTGTGGTCAGATGTTTACATGCACTCGTCATGAAGGTCATGGCAACTTTGGGCTTTTAATGATTTCCTTGAACTGTTCTTTTCCCAGCATGGAATCAATGTACAGCAGACCGGCTGCACTATTTTGAATGTATTTTGGACTTTGCCTAATCGACACAGGGTGGACACAGGGTGTCGCTTGAATAAATAATGAATAAACTCTACCAGTTCTGCCAAGAATGGTCAGATGTCCAGCTAGAATTACAACAGACATGTTGATGGCTACCAAAAGCATGAGGTCAAGGTGCAACAAGAGATTTTCAACAAAATATTAGTCAGAGTACATCTATATATTTAAGCCTGCATACTTTTGACTTATACTTAAACTATCCCTTTGTGAATTAGAGAAAATCCAAAATAAATTGAAACTCATGCACAAAGTTTGTGTTTTTATAATCATTAATGATGTATGTTGTAAAATCATTCCACCCTGAAAAAACTGCTCAAAGAAATCATTAAAATCCACAGATTATCATGACATTGATGATGAGTCTATGCAAACACTCACACCTGAAGTGAATAGGGACTGTTTCGCTATGAAACTGTAGGCCTTCGTGTTAATATACTTTGATATCTATCAAGTAAAGCAAATAAAGCAGTGCTGACCTGTCATCCAATATCCTTAGGTCCCAATCTGATCAAGCATTCCCAGTAAACAGAGGATCGTTAATGCTCACTCTCAGAGGATTTTGCCAGTACCTGTGGGGCCTATACAGTGCTAGGAAAGAGGTTTTAGTTTATTTGGTGACTGGTCGGGGTAAATACTTAAGCCAAATCAGAAGTATATATCCATGAACAGAACCTTAAATCTCCTCAAACCAGAATCCCATGATTCACTGTGTCTACAGTGCAACATGATACCTCTGTCTTTGGTCACATCCAAAGATAAATACTCAACATGATGCAACCACAGAAGCTTTTAGAAATGTACTCCAATGACTGTGTCTGTGACCAAACTGCTGATCTTATTCTGCAAGATTAATAACTGCAACTGCAACCGCGCCAATACAATACCTTCATGAGCGGTTTCAGGCCATTACACGCATCACTTGTCCCACAGTGTCGTTGGAGCACACTCTTTTGAGTCAGCCACACCAACCCATCTTTAGTTTCTCCTGAAACTTATGCACAGCTCCCTGTGAAGTAGCACATTGCTGACTAATCAAAAACGAACCTCAATTCCACGATCATTTTCCCTCATAAACTTCCATGTAACCTTTTCTTCCTTTTTTCATACGTTTACCGCAGACTCTGTCCACACTGTTTGAAGATGCATGAGCGACCATAAACTAATGAGCTAACATTTAGTTCAGATGACATTTACACTTTGTTTTTTTTTTTGTTGATGAGTGAGTATAGGGGTGGGATTTAATAAGTTTTCTTCGTCCCACTCCTTTTTCAGGCAAGTTTTCTTTTTTGTTTTGTGTATTTTATGTTCAATATAGGTATTTGTTGTGCCTGAAAATGAATAAATGAATGAATGAATGAATGAATGAATCGAAACACATTTTATCAAAGAAAAAAAGCTGAGAGTTTTTCTCCGGCCTTCCTCATCTTTCCAAAATGACATCACGTAATCTGAAACAGTTGTAATCAGTGATCTGTGTAAAAGATTTGTGCTATAGCCTCTGTAGGAAAAAGCCAGGGTGCTACCAAGCCAACAACTGTTGGTGGTAGTCCTAAAAAATAGTTTCTCAACACTCACACCCTGATAAATCTCAGCAAATTCGCTTTTTTTTTTGTAATCTTTTGTAAACTATTAATTTGAAAATAAGCTCAAAGTAGATCCTCTGACTGAAAAATTCCTGAAAGATCTGATCACATAAAAATGTACAAAATGTTAAAAACAAGTTTTTTTAATTGGCATTATTATCAATATCTCTTGTTTTTTTTTGTTTTAAATATATATGTATATATTTATATAATGTACCTCTGACTGTGGATGTTGTTGTTCAGTGACTAATCAATCATAGCTTTCTGCGTCCACCCACTCCGTCATGACTGACAGGCTCTGTTACCAATCAGGTGCTCCAAGGACAGGAACCAATCAGAAAGGTTTGTGGAGAGTCTCCGCATCAACTTATCAGCATCAGGAGTGAACAGCCATTCAAATTTCTTCTTTTTGGGACTTTTTCTATGTCCATTACATCCCTTTCCACAAGTTCCTCCTTGAGCATTACTGTCCTCTATCTTTTCACTTCATCACTATCTGAAGTGTTTATCTTAACAAGTGACTAAATGCTACTATTAAAATCGTATTTCTCTCTTCCAAGCAGCAAATTACGCAGCCAAAGAGGTGAAACAAATGCTCTTGTCCCAGTGTTTTTAACTCATTTTAGGGATCCTGACAGAAATGTAATTGATTTTTTGAATGAAACATCCAACAAGAATTTTGTGAGCCAATAAACTACAGTCTCATTTCATCTCTTTGGCAGACTGGTGTTTTGGCTGAATACTAGATTAAATATAAGATTAAATCACATGTTAAGACATACACTTGGACGTATTTGTTTTCCTCACAGTGCCTCTTCTCTCTGCTCTTTTTCTGAATGTCTTTTCCCTTCTCAGTCTGACCACAGGTTCTCCATGGCCATGCTGATCTTACACAGGATCCAGCGTCGGAGCGGGCAGTAATACTCGTAGTGAAACTGCTCAAACTCCGGTGTCTGCCGGATCTCATGGAGGAAGGACACGTCAATATCTGACTCCAGCAGCAGCAGCAGTGTGGGCACGGTGACGAGCAGGACCCCCATTACCACAGCGACAAAGCGGGCCACGCTCAACACGCAAGCATTGACTCTGTCATTGGATGACAGCAGGCGCAGACTGCTGGTCAGGACTCCGCTCATTCGACTTCTCGCGGCCAGGCGGGTGCGCTCATAGGCCCTGTCTCGCTCCCTCTCGGCCTCCAGCTGGGCCTGGATGTCAGGATCAGCATGGAGCTCCCTAAGCAACCTGGCGGGGCTTTGAACTGGAGAGGAGAAGAGCAAGTCGACTCCTCCCTGGCTGTCGTCCACTGGGGTGGGAAGCATGCTGGCACAGGGACTGGAGAAGAGAGAGAATAAGCAAACCTGAGCCTGAGTTCACCCAATGAATGTTACTAATGTTCAGATTCAGTGTCTGCTGAATGTCCTGAATCTCACTTATGCCTGAGAGATACCTTTTGCTCCTAAAATGTTAAAAACTCTAAAATTTGTCCTTTGCTAGAGAAAATGGGTTGAATTTGGAGTTTTCTTTCCAAAAACCGGCAACTGCATCCATCAAAAACACAACCATCTTTACTGTTTACACCGAACACATGAGCCAGAAAATGATCATTCAGCCGAAAGCAGCTGTTGAGGCTTTTATAATTAAAAAAAAGCTGCTTTTGACAGTTTATTATAAAGATTTATTGACCTGTAAGTAAGCTCAGAAATGGTCAGTGTGCCGCTGGCCTCATCGTCTTCCTCCAATTCATGTTCAGCTTTGGGCGTCTGAGGTCGGAGATTTGAGGTTTCCATGGAAACACGAGGCTGCAAGTCATTGCCCGAAGCAGAGTTTCCTGCTTCAGTACTTTGCTGCTCTGCATCTGCAGACCCAGCTGAAGATTTGAGGGGAGACAAGGGGACCGAGTCCTTCACAGCAGCAACACCTGGTGAGGGGGAAACAGAAGTCAAAATATCTTTGTTTTTAATAAACATTCATAATTATTTCACCTTTTATTTACAGAACAGATGATGAGCAGACTTCAATACTTTTTTAAAAAGTGCATTTTCAGCGTTGTGTCTTGCACAGTTCACAGCGGAGCTACAAAAAGCACATTTAGAGTTTGTAACTAAAAGACAGAAGATTATTTTGCTCTCCAATGTGATCTCTCTTTAATGTAAATATGAACAATTTCACACTTTGCAAAGCTTGATGTTTTAAAAGCAGATTATTTGAATAAAGAATATAATAGTTTTAGTCTAAACATATATCGAGAGCTCTGGCTTTATCACCACTTGCTTGACTTTTTCTTAGTATTAGCACACTGTGCAGGATGTAATCGGCCTGCAAAAATCAATATTACTTTGTATGCAGCTGGGAATGGAGACCTCTCAGCTTTGCCTTTTTTGTGTGTGTTGCTGTTGACTACATTGACCACAAGATGGCGTTATTCGCTCACGTAAGGATAAAGCTTCAGACTTGGAAAAATAGCAACCAAGTACTAAATAAATACCCAACTGTGGCATCAACACACAATTTGGTGAAACCATAATAATGCTACGCTGCAAGTGCATAGCATAGATATAAGTCACTGCGTTTGGTGCAGTGATGTGAGCAGCTGACAACACCTCTGTGAGTGTGAGCAACAGTTGATGCAGCGATGAAGACCTCCTGATTCTGTTGGTGTGTACAAATTTCAGCTAGCAAAATAATACTCTGGTGTGCAGTTACATATTACTCTTTGAGATTGATGAGGTGCGAGAGATTAATGCCTAAATACACACACATTTGTTGATAAATGGAAATATATAATGTGTGTGTGTGTAGGTGTGCGCGCGTGTGTGTAAGTGAGTGTTAAAAATAAGCCTAGCTGTCTTCCTGCTGTGGATTAAGTATGAGCTGGGAGGTAAATGTTCAGTGACATATGACTCAGTCTACACCTGTAATCCATAATCCATCTTGCTGTCTTGTGGCACTCTATGTGTAAGGTCAAGACTCTACTGTTGGTCCCCACAAGCATAGTAAACCTCAAATTTTTGGTCTCCACAAAGATATGTAAAAACACACACACACACACACACACACACACACACACACACACACACACACACAAGCCCATTCAGCTATCTTAGTGAGGACCTTCATTGACATAATGGTTTCCCTAGCCCCTTACCCTAACCCTAACCATTAAAAATGAATGCCTAACCCTTACCCTAAACCTAACCATAACCTAATTGTAACCCTGACACTAAAACCACATTTAGGCCTCAAAAAGGCCTTCAAACTTTTGAGGACCGGTGAGTGTGTCCTCACAAGTGACTGTCGGTTCTTACAAGTATAGTAGAATGCAGATTCCGGTCCTCACAAAGATAGCTAGACAGGAACACAGACTCATGTTCATTACAAACACAGCTGAAAACATGTAGCCTCACAAACTGAGAAAGAAGGGTCAAAACCTGATGAGAATACATGACAAACATTACATCTGCAATGTTTTTATGATCCATTGATTGAAAGTGGTATAATATCAGATACAGAAACTCAGTGTCAGAGTGACTAATGAGTTACCGTGCTCCCGATTCAATTATAAATTGATAAAAAAAATAAAATAAAAAAAGAAAGAAAGGGCAAAGGAGTGCTGAAGAGTGAGTGGTGACTGCTACCATGGAAACACAGCAGGCAAAAAGCCAACAAGTGTGTGAACTCAGGGAGGGAAAAAAGGGGGAGGAATAAAAACATGGAAGCTGCAGCAGAAGAAAAACAACACAGTGATGGCGACGACGACGATGATGATGCTTGCAGCAAAAGAAAACAAAACTCAGTTGTAATTATTGCAGTTTGTTCCTTTACTGAAATTCTGCACTGGACTTGATTTTTGATTATTCCCTTTCCACAAATGTGTTGTCATTACCAGAGATGGGCGCGTTACTGTAATCCGATTACCCTTTTCAAATAACGAGTAAAGTAAGGGGTCACTATTGCAAAAACGGTAATTAGATTACCGTTACTTTCCCGTAAGAACGCGCGTTACTAAAACCGTGATTTTTTTGCGAGAATGTCTCATGACAGTGACGTAAGCGAGTGCGACGTTCGTGGCAACAGGTGTGTGCAGATCAACAATGGATCATATATCAAGTGCAGGAGAGAGTATGAGCATGCAGCGTTTAAAGCGTGGAAGTACTGACCTTACTTTAAGTTTGATTCCGTAAAAAGTGATGAAAACATTAATGTCCGTTGTGCGTGGGAAGAAAACTTATTTTTACATCAAACAAAAACCCCTAAACTTCCAAGCAAGCACCGAGTGTGCTACTACGTAATGGGAAATTCACAGAGAAACTCGCGGATTCTTCAACTGACCGCTGTGGCACACCAGGGTAAACCTCCGCCTACCTCACTCCTGCTTTACAGGTGAAAATAGAGCAACAGGACCGATAGTTTTTGATTTTATTTATTTTCTGCTGTGTTTTACTTGCATCTATTTGAAAGACCGAGTGTAAACACAAAAAAAGATTTTATTTTATGTGCTGGAATGTGCAGAAAATAAGTTTAAATGTTAAACAAATTTCTTCCAGTCTGAGACTGTTGCATATAATTCAATTTTTGCTTGATGCATAAAGTTAAAAGGTTAAAACTAATAAAACAAGTTTTAAAAAGAGACTTTTTCATTTGATTACATTACATGTATGATGGATTATGCAGAAAAAGTAGAATTGGGCTGAAAGATCTATCGCTTTATCACCTCTTCAGGTTGTAAATCGTGTTTTTAAAAAGTAGCTAAGTAGCTAAGTGGGGAGGACAAAAAGAAAGGACTCAAAAGCAACCAAGGCAGAACTGCTTGGCACACGGTACATACAACATTATATGTAAAATTATGAATCAGAACAGAGTCCCACTCTATGTAAAGCTAACCCTCCGTTCTCTTTCAGTCATACCTTCCTGTTTTATTGTGATAGTTATTGTTTTCTGTGACTTGTGTTGCGTTTGCTTCCCCTCCCTCATCATTTTTCTTTGTTGCATCATCCCTTACTCTTTTTTTGCATCCCATGTGTTATGTGTCTCCAGTACAGTTTTCTAGTTAGTAAATTCCTGGTATCTGCTCAGCTTAGGTTCTTTTGTTAGTTTGATTCCTGTGAGTCCAGCAGTAAAGCTGTATTTTGAGTTCAGTGTTGCTTCCAAGTCCTGCATATTGGGTCCTAATCTTGATAGCCACACGGCAGCATATGACTGCCTCAGGTGCATTGCTTATTATTAAATCGATCCTTCATAAGTGTGGCAGTGTGTCCATTACAGTTGGATGTTTGATTTTATGACACACTGAAAGCTGACTAACATTAAAATGGTACCTGTATCCTGTTTGCACTGTAACGTATTAGAAATCTATGCAGCAGAGACTGTCGAGTTCACATCATGACCAGCTAAGTCTGAGATTAGGAGTAAAAATTATTTTGTAAATTTACAAAGAAGAAATCCTGAGTTCTGTCTGACTTAACTAAACACATCACTGCTGCTGCAGCTGCTGCTGCTATTTCCCATTTATGATCCAGTCTGTCCTGTTAGCTCACATGAAAGCCTCTCCATAGATGAGGTGATGCACATCATCCTCGTGCCTATGCAAACACGCACACACACACACTAGTACTCAGAGCAGCGGTTTCCCTTGTTATGCAAGTGCCGAGAGACCGATTCATCTTTGTCATGTAACCTCATCTTTACCACTCAAACACTTCAAAAGTAAATTTGTCTCTATGATTGTTCAGAAATAAATCAGCTATCAACTCCATTAACTGTGTGCTCAGCTCTTTTTTTTTTAAACTTTTAAGCTCAATTTTTGAGCTGTTTGAAGGATTACAGCTTCATCAGTCGAATTATAAAATCTACTTTTCAACCAAAATCATCGCCGATTTGTGAAAGTGATATAACTTTGTTAAGTCAGCTAAACGCACATAAGTGCATAACTGATTGCAGTCTTTCATGATGAGAATACATCTTTTGGCATCAAAAATGATGAAATATAATAGGTTAGCAATAATTCTTTCTCACTGCGTCTGTAAATGAGGGAATTGCTTTGTCTTTCATCTGCATGTCAATTGTTTATAGGATCACTGATGAAGCTCAAAGGATATTTTAGCCAGTGGAATAAAGATAGGTGGAGTAAAACTAAAACTATTAAGCATTATCATTAAAAAAAAATCAGTACTTGTGCTTTTGTTAATCCTTCACTATTTACTAATTTAACTTAATCATTTAATTCATTTAAACTTATTCCCAAATCTACTAATCAAATATTTAAAGTGCCTTATCTTGACCCATCTGCTTAATCATCATTTCATTTAAGGTTGTAAATATGCAGAGCAGGGTGCTAAACTTTAGCAGATATGATCCAGCAGAAGTAAATGTCAGATGCAAATGTCCAGTCTTTAACCAGTCAGGTCCTCAGGATGCACAGAGCCCCTGTGACATCACATTGCGCAGATGTAAGAAGAGAGCAGGTAATGATCTGTAAATTTACAGCTAACGAGTGGGTGTCATATATGCTGCCTCCCACGCGCTCCATCCAGCACACTTTTCACACGAACCACATTTAGTATTTCTAGTGGTGTGAAGAGCAGCTGAAGATTTAATCGTACCACTAGATCTTCAACAATAACCCTAACTTCAACCTGACCTAATTCTAACCCTATTTCATGATTTACTTCTGGGTACCCAGATGTTTAATGTTATGGGGACAAAATCAAGTCCGCATAACATGAGTAATACTTAAACTATGCACACATGCACACTTCTATTAAAGCAGCCTCTTGAGAGTCCCATGTTTGGCAGCTTACATTCACAGTTTGCATCAGGCGGTTGCCACAACAGACCTGGCAACTAACTGCTGAGCTACCAGGCTCACAAATTTAAAAGGTGTTTACCTCCTGGTTAGACTGTGGGAAAAAATGTCAAAGGATACATTTATTAGGAGCTAAAAGAAACTTCACACAGTGACCTTTTCCACTTGGCTTACTCTCTTCCAGTATATTTCTCTGAGGTCCAGTACTGAATCCAGCGATGCGACCCCCATTGCCCACCAGTCGCACATAGACATCCCGTCTTGTGTGATTGGCTATACGTAGGTGGAGGCTTCGCCTGGTTGTTATCTTCACCTGGCACCTCAAGGCCTCAGCCACTACTATCGATGAGTCTTGCTCATCTTCAGCCTCTCCTGGGTGGAATACTTCAAGAGCTCCAACCTCTCTCTGCTTCATCCCTTCTTCCCGCAGCCTCTCTGGTGTCATGTCGAGTTCGAGTCCCCCTATTTTGCTCCCGTAATTCTGGGTGTTGTCGACACCGGGACCGTCGCCCAGTTCCAAACTACCCTGCACGAGGCTGCCTCCAACATCACTGCTGTTTCTGTGCCCTAGAAGCTCCATCATTCAGTTTGATGACAAAAGCCGGACCAGCTGTCTGCACAAAGACCCTGACTGACTGGGCTGCCAGCTGAGCTCCAACACACGCACGCCTATACACAAACACTTATAGAGATGGTGAGAGACACACCAGTGCACCAGAGACATTCTCTCTCTCTCTCTCTCTCGCTTATGCACAGACATGGTGGGCCCTCCTGTGAATGTCAGCGATGGTAACAAAGAGTGGAGGGGGCATTAGAGGAGGATCAGGCCCAAAGCTGCAATTTCTAAATATAACCAGGTGGTCCTGGTGGCAAAGGGGCAGCTAATCTAACTGATTACAGGGGGACAGGCCTGACTCAGGACGGGATGGGGGATCATTTTCTTTTCCTCTCTGCAACCCTGTCTTTATCTGAGTCTTTCCACCAATAAAATAAACCTAATTCCAATTCTACAGCAAACTGGGTACAATCCAACTTTATTCACTACAATACTCGCCTCGCTGTGAGACTGAAAATGAAAGATTTTGTTGGATCACATGCTGCATTAACTGCTGCAAAAACATGGATTGTGAGGCGGAAATATGAAGCCTGATGGCTATAAAACATCCATTAATGATGTTCCTAGAGAAAACATAGCCAGAGTGTATGCGTTTGGATTGTGGTAGATAAGTAGGGAGCAAACTGTACAAACAGAACAAGGTCAGCTATGACCTTGGGTCAGCTTCCTGTTTCCCCTGTAAAGGCTGAGATTAGTGCTCTGAATATAGACTGTGACCCTAAACCATCTTGAGGACACTTTATCTTAAAGTCCTTGCGTCAGCCACCTTAGCAGAATCAGCTCATGAAACAGTGATGTGTCGTCCAATCACATCGGTTGGGTGAAAATGCAACGTAATTAAACTCTCAAATCACATAACTCTCATCTGACTCCCATGGAAGCTTGTTTTCTTTCTCCTTTTTTTTTCCTGCCATCGATTAGTCACATTTCAGGTTATTATCTAAAAAATTTTACTTATTAACTCCTTAATGCCAGGTGCAAGACAGAGCATATTTCCTATACTGGCTTCCTGTCACATGTTTTCTTTGTATTATTGTAGAGTCTTGACTTTCAACATAAAGCACCATGAGGCAATTGTTGTTGTGATTTGGTGCTTTTGAAATAAAATTTAATGGAATTGAATTGAATTAATTTTGATGAGTTTTTTATAGCTCCACAACATTAGCACAAAAAACCTAAATAAATGGCAAAACAAATATTTAAAGCAATAAATTCAAAAAAAAAAAAAAAAGCCAGATGCAGCAAATATGATACCATCGAAAACTCGCATGCAAATGGTGAAGTTGAAATTTGAATGTAATTCATTTTCAATAATAAATTGACATTTAAACTTAGCTCTACTCAGCATCTTTTTTTTGTCAGTGAGGAAAAAAAGCTTCTATAAACTCCCATATGCAATGTTGGAAACTTGTGGGAGGAGGACTATAGCACGGGCTCATGTGCGTACCTGCTTCGCATTAAGACGCCTGTGTTAAGAAGTGCTCTCTCAAATTCTCTTTCTACATTTTTCATGCATATTGTGAGTCTGACAATACATGAATATTTAAAAATCTTAATTTGAACAATCTATGTCTTCATCTCTTTTTAAAATGTCTTTTTTCTTGTAAACTCTTCAGTTTATTATATTTACTGTTAAACCTCTAATGTTTTAAAATAATTTACAACTATATCACTTAATATCTTATTACCAGAGGGAAAGGCAGGAACTGCAGAAGAAAACAAGGCATTTTCAAATTTAATCTTATGTTATTTACTCAGCCTGTATCCTGTACAAGGCCCTTTATTTGGCCTAGTGTCCCGCCCAAACCAGCTGAGACAGCCGAGATGGTTTCTACTGCAGGTCTTTGACCCCGAGCCAAGAAAGAATTGATTTTCCTGTAAATGGGATGAAGGGAGATGAGTGAAAAACAGAGACAAGCAACAAAGAAGAATAGAGGTGGATAAAACGACGGAGTGACCTTAAAATCTGTCAAAAAAAGGCATGAGAGAAAGCGATGAAGTCTATAAATAATTTTAAGACAGTGATGGTGCAACAGCATGACTGCACTGTACATGTTTGAGAACCTAACGAATGTGGTTCAGGTGGATTAAAGGTGAGGACAGGAGAGGTGAAAAATACTGACTGAAGGAGAGGAGAAGCTCTGAGGCGATGGAAGAGACGTGCCTGGCTGGATGGATATAATTTTAACTGAGGGTAAAATGAGCATCAAATCGTTCTTCATCCACAACAGTGTTTTGACCAAGAGTTTTAATCCTCTAATCAACAGCAGCTAAGTGAAGACAGGACTCAGGCACTATCCGTGGTTTGAAAACATGAAAACAGGTTATTGTAATGTGTGAAGTACACAAAGAAAATGCTGTGAGAAATGAGATTGAGATCAAAGGAGATTTTCAAAAACTTGAACTCTGACCTTTGACCTTTAGGTCAAGGTCACCGCGATTCAAACTCATCCTAGATATTTAGCCGATGCACCTATTTTATCCATTTGAAAATCCTAGGTCATTTTCTTCTCGAGTTATCGCATTCATAAGATTTTAAGAAAACTTGACCTCTGACCTTGAGGTGGAGGTTACTAAGATTATTTGTAGATGCATCTATGGTATCAGTTTTCATTTAAAAACTTCTGTGTATGTGCAGCCTGCCCGGCAGGGTGACATCTACACCCCATCAGCCTTTTATGTCTGAGTAGGAAAAATGGAATCTTAGTCTGCAAAAACACACAAAGGTGCAGACACATGGAAAAACTGACAGTCAGAATTATAGTGGGATCCTTAGGGGGGATCATGAGAGGGTATTTTTAGTATGTCGCAATTGGTCACCAGGGAGACAGGATTGATGGCGAGATGGGAGCATCAGCTGCTCAATTAAAGCTCTCTCTCTCTGAGTTTTGTGCATGGATTTCTTCCTACACAAGGAAGATCCCATGTGACTTCACAAATGTCTCTTAGAGGGGCATGAGTGCATGTCTGTTGTGTGTATTTGGGTCTGTAGTAAGCAGTATCCTCCTACCACTGTCTACGGCCGTCTCTTCGTATTCGTTGGTGGAGGGCAGTGCAGGTACCAAAGGTTCCATGTTCATGATGAGATTTTTATGGCTCAGAGAGTTAAAACTTCGACTCTGACCAAACTGAGCTCTGAAAAACATGAACGTCATACATTTTTTAACACCCTTACATAACACCACCATGTGCACTCTGGTATTCATATCTGCAGAACAATAGATGAAATTGTCCTTATTTTATGTTTTATATGAAATAGTGTGACTTCAGGTAATTTCTCAGATGTCCTTACCTGCGCACTTCTGGTGGCTCCCTCTGAATTTTGGAGCTGGCTTCTATCACTTCCTTGGCTACTCTGCCACTAACACAGAAAAACACATAAGTTAAAGGTTGGTTTGTGTTTATAAAAATACTGTAATTGAAAATAAAATGTTACGATGGCAGGTCATTAGTCTCCCTATAGGCAGGTCTGTAAAAAATGTACTCCTTTTCATTTACATGCATATTTGTAGAACTATACAAACCTCCCGAGGCCCTTTGTGACAGTAATATGAATAAGTTCACTCTATGCTATCATCTGAAAAAATAAGCAGTAGCTTGTAGAACCACCTTTTGCAACAATAATATGAAGTAATAATTTTCTATATGTCTGTTCTATAAGTCTCTCACATCACAGGTATTTGTTTATGCGCAGCTCTCTTAAGGTCCCATCACAGCATTGCAGTCGGTTTGAGGTCCAGACTTTGACTGGACCATTGCAACGCCTCGAATCATTCCTTTTTCAAACAGTCTGTTGCAGTTGCTTGGGATCATTGTCATATTGATCCAAGTTGTTTGATAGACAGCCTCACATTTGAATCTAGAAATCTTTAGTGTGCAAAGGAGTTTATGGTCGGCTCAACGGCTGCAAATGTAGAGGTCCTGTGGCTACAAATTAAGCCCATATCATCAACCCTACCCATATGGAAAAGAAATAGTAAAAACTTATAAAACACTTGCATAAGATGTGGCCTACTTCATATAGTGAATCATATAAGGCTTATATGATTTACTCTTGAAAGTGGCCACTTTCTCATTACTTTCATATATTGTTTTATTAAGTATCCAAAACATACAAGTTTAATTTCTAGAATTTTTCAAGGGATCTTATATCTGTTTTCACTCTTGTATGCTTTTCATACAAGTTTCACACAAGACAGATACAAACTTTATAAGATTTATATATATCGTTTCCATATGAGTATACTACCATGCATCACAGTTTGTGCTGAAATTCGGTCCACTTTGACTTTGATCTGTCCAAAGCACATTGTTCCAAAAGTCTTATTTTTTGGACAGATATAATTTTGAACACCTAAGCTGTGCTGCCTTGTTGTTAGAAAGAAGAGACTTTCTCCTAAGAATCCACCTAGCCACACTTGTTCAGTTGTTATCTAAACGTACTGTTGCGAACTTTAGCATTTAACATGCTAACTGAGTTCTATAGAGTCTGAGTTTCTCTGAGCACTGCACGACCTGACCTTGGGGTGAATTTTCTGGGATGTCCCCTCCTGAGAATGTCTCGAATGAGTTTTACTTGAAGTAATCATTCAGTTAATGAAGTGCATTTGAATAGCAGCACTTGGCTGCAGTTTTTCATATGAATGCAGAGTTTCCCATGAGCATTTTTTGTTTTTTAATGTGCTACTATAATTTCACGGACAGTATGTCTGAGTTACACCGATTGCTTCATGTCATAAAAGAAAAGGAGAAAATCAGATTTGATGCTACTCGGCTTACATTCAGTGTTGTTCCTGTTGAGCAGACAGTTTCCTGCCATCAGTCGGCAGCTTCATTAGTCAGACTGTAACTGCACTGTTTAAAGCCAGCAGGCTTCTTCATCTTACCCATTAATCTATTGTTGTTTAGACTGATGTTTAAGTCATAAATTAGGGGGTGATATAAAACATACGCACTTCATATCTCAAGCGACAGTGGCATCAGCACTGGTGGAAATACTGGAATCAGCTGGATCAACACACATTATGTGAAGACCCGATCTGCTCGGCTTTGCATAAACTGCCTTCATTTATGGGATACAAATCTCAGTCCTGTTTTGCACAAATGACCAATTCCCATTTTTCAGAACAAATTCCACCATATGCTATTACTCATCGCTGAGCCCTTAAGCCAAAATGCTTCAGCGAGCTGATGAAATGGGGCAGGCTGAAGTGTAAGCCTGGTAAAGAGCTTTGTCTGAGAGGAGAATCAGGGCTCACTTAGCTTCAATAACAGAGTATATAGAAGCTTTCCGGTGATATTAGAGTCAGTAAATCATAGAAACCAGGATGTAGGTGCTGATGTGCAATGACGAGAACTCCCATCTTGGTTATTTGGTGTCTTGATGATCTAATTTTCCATCCATTTTTGTCACTTTGGCAACAAATGCATGGGGTAAGATGATGCTGCTGTTAGTAAAGAGTAAGGTGACAATGTGCAGGACCGAAACACTCTGTACACTTTTACACAAAATTAACTCTTTACATTTCAGTGCTTGAAATGTACCATACCCCCCTCATCTCTGTTGTTCCCAATTCTCTTTGCACATATTCCTTATGATTTCTTTAATCATATAATACACCTCACCTGTATCTGAACCTGCTGCCTTTGAAGAAGATATTACTGCTGGAAACTGTTTTTATCTGACTTGACTTTGCACACCTGTCAGACAAAGAAAGGAAGAAACAAAAAGAGACACATTACGTGTACAGCAGCCTTGCACACTGAACCCTGACTAACACATGTCGTAGCAGAATAACAGATTTTTAAAGGCTCAAACTCTCATCACAATAATGTTTCACTAATTTTTTTTCTCGCAGAACACAGAGTAGCCTCTCAACAAGCTTACAGCACGGTGTGTCTTTTTAAAAGCTTATGGCTGGAGGTCAAACCTTCATGTTTCATTCTATATAATTTATCATGTGAAACCAGACTCCAGTGCAGCAGAGAAGGAGCTAGAGCACAGACACACACATGTCTGCTCTCCTTCGTGCACGAGACACCATATGCTGGAAAAGCTCTGCTTGGCTGCCGTTCACAAACTCAATTCACTCTGATTTGATTTAGCGGCTCTGATGCTTGTCTGACATCCGAGCTGACATCCACTCCATCTCAGTCCGCCTTTTAGAGACACATGAGCTGCTGTCATTAGGAAGTCAGTATTCAGGGTTGTATGGGGCAAGGGCTATTTTACAAATTCATAACGATGTCTTCCTTTTGTAAGATTGTCTGCATGTATGGTGCCTCTTGATAAAATAAAGCAAGGCAGAGAGAAAAGCATGTGAAAAGTGAAGAATGCCTGCAGTTAAGAGAGAGCGGGAGACCTTCAGATTGACTGACAGTGTGGAGGAGGAAGGCCACCGTAGAGAAATCCGTCACAAAGCAGCCTCCAGTTCTTGCGTCAAACCTTTGGAAAATCTCATCTCCTCCAGCCTGACCTCTCTCCATCAAATGAGACCAGCTGTTCAGAGCCGCTGAGCCTTCTTATCCCCCTCCACGCCCACACGCACTTTGCTGTTTGGTGCCTCTTCCTTTTCTTTTCACACGGCTCATCTTCTCAGACATGAGCAAAAGATCCAACTGCTAATATCAAGCTCAGGAACAACCTTAAATGAAGAATAGCCATCTTGGTTGAGGAATGATGAATAAGTGTGAAGCTGATAGGAAAAGATGAACGGTTCAGGATCTCTTGAAGATCCTGGGTTGTTATTTTGTGCAAATTTTACATTGCAGATGTGACATCCTCTTGTGTTTTTCCATCTCGGTTGTTTTATATTCATCAGTCTGCTCTCCTCATATTCTCACTGAACTGGGATTGACAAAAGGGAGCAGATCTGTTGTGCTTGCCCACTATATTTGATTCTCGATTACATTAATGAACATAGATGTTAGCATCTTGTCTTGTCATGAACCTTGTTTCCCTTCCCTCCGTGCCAGTGGGGTCAATAGTCTTTGCAGATGAGATCAATGGCCTTGGAGCAATCAGCTGCTCCCCAGTGAAGGACGACGACATGTCCTTGCAGTACTGGGAGTAAATTAAGGAGATAATGTGCTAAAATTAAGTCGGTTTTGAAGTGAAGCAAAATCTTGGCTCGATATAAGAGCTCAAAACGTTCCTACTGGATTCGGGGTTTTGGTGTAAGCTGATCCTGCACAGTCTCAGCAGTTACAGGAAGAACTCAATAAAAATAAAAATGAATTTGTGTGCGTGTTTGTGTGTGTGCAGACGTACTTGTAAAAGGCCTGGTTCTCCACCCCGCACTTCCATAAGTGCTTACACGCTGCAGGGGTCGAGGTGTGAAATGTCAACACCAGCTTCTTCTACACAGAAAAGGACAAAGACAGAAAGAGTGACAGTGAGGATGAGAAATGAACTTACTGGAAAAGAAAAAACTGTGAATAAGGACAAGAAAAGAGCTGAACGTAATGTGAGGGAGCTGTGCAAAATGCTGACCCACAGACCCTAAGCTGTAAGCTTGGCAAGATAAAGTCATTCGGTCACAGTGCTCAGCATTAAAAGGCAGAACATGGGTTTTTATGGACTAAGAGGAGAGATTTATTCCCGGAAACATCTAGTCTCTGGCTCTGCAAGTCTGGGAACGTGGGACGCCAGATCAATACTGTTCAGCAAAGAGGATAGAGGCAGAGACGAAGCAATGAAATCAATAACATGAGAATGAGATACTGTAACAGAATATGATATTATACCGCTATAAGTGTCTGTTAAAATAAAAAACACTTCACTGTTAAGTTGACAGCAGTGAAAGGGTCCAGTCTGTGCCCACTTCATCAGCTATATTGCGCAGCCCCCAAACTGTCACATATCAGTTATATTAGGTATGCAGGTGTGATTTACACACATGTGCTTCAGTTGCCATGTGTGTGTTCACAGGTGTGTGAAGGCGCCAGGACTGCGTGTTAATCTGCCTTTGGTCCCACTTTGGCTGACGTGCAAAAGCGTTGACTTGGATTTTTTGGGGGGAAAAAAAAGAGTTAATTGAAAAAAATCATCCACTGAGGGGAAGAGACCGAAATTGTACATTCTAAAACGTAAAAATCAACTCAGATGTCAGAAATGTATTTAACTACAATAAAGATGATGCTATTTACTCTGTGTGCCTACAGTAAAGGACCAATTAGGTTTATTAAAAGAGCACGATCGTGGTTCAAATACAGCCTTTTACAGCTGCAACCACTTCTCTGCAACATGCTTTTCAGACATGCATGAACGCACAGCAGGGCGGCGTCCTACATCAGCAGAACCTATGCGGTCGTTGCTGTGCGTTCACCGGTGCGTTGTGACACCTGATCGAGTGGCAGATGGGTTGTTCAAAAACACGCTTGTTTGGGGAAAAAAGGTTTTTCTAGAACTGCTCATCCAAACAAATTGAATCAAATGGGATTTGATGTACAGTAGTTGAGCTAACCTTGAAAACTGAAGTAAGTCTTTTTTGTTCTTTACATATCACAGCTGATTATGAAACTGAGGTCCATGCACAGGGTAAGCCATGCTTGTGTGTTAGGAGTTAACTGTTGAGTCAGCCAAAAAGAAGCTGACCAAGAATTTGTGACTTTGATCTCATAAAAGTGTTTCATCTATATAACCTGCAATCAGCTCAAAGTGGGACAGGTAGGTTTGGGTAATCAGAGGAGAGGGAAGAGTGAGGAGTGACCTGCCACATGGTGGAAAATTCAGGAAACAAGCATCAACACACAAATCCTCACATAAATAAAGTACACACACACCCACACAATCAAAAGGATGAAACGGTTATGAAAAAATTGAATGAGATGAATGAGGCATGGATAGAGTTATAGATTAAGCAGCGAAACATTGCATGTTAATCTATAGTTCACTGGAAGTCAGAGGGTGAATTTGATTACATGGTGAACAAGACGGGGACGGAAGCCACAGAAGAACTGCGATCATATGAAATGAGAGCAGAGAGAACTTTTATATAACACACCAGACAAACAACACTTAATGACAATATCATGAAAAAAGAAATAAAACATGGATAAAAGGTTCCTCCAATCATAAAGTGAGGCGAGGGCAGGGCTGCGGGTAAAGGTGTCAAATTGAGGACTTAAATACAACAACGATTTGCGCTACTGTTTTTACTTGTATTTACTCACCAGAGATGACTATGTTTACACACAGAGAGAAGAGACAGAAACACAGAGATAATAGTGCATCTTCAGCCTTTCACGAGGAGCCGAACAGACAGACAAGGCAGACAGACTGACAAGTTAAGCAGCGATGAAAGAGCGGAACTGAGCTTCTGTAATGAAGACAACAGCTTTGACACTCATCGATTGGCTGATTGGTAGATTTAAGAGCAAAATGGCTTTAGCTGCAAGGATTTGCAGGTGTTTTTGAGCTGCTTCAGGCAGACTGAAGGTAAAGAGCACATCGGTTGTAAATCCTGAAAAAATAAAGTATGCAGATAGACGAGGCACTGAAACTGCTGCTCAGAATCTACCACAGCTCTGTTGGTTGATAAACATCAAGCAACCAGATGAAGCATGTGTCCCAAATGCAAGACATCCACTGTTTGAAAGTTAGTACTTGCTTTCTGTTTCAGTTTGGAGACACCATGTCATACAGTGGGGCAAAAAAGTATTTAGTCAGCCACCGATTGTGCAAGTTCCCCCACCTAAAATGATGACAGAGGTCAGTAATTTGCACCAGAGGTACACTTCAACTGTGAGAGACAGAATGTGAAAAAAAAATCCATGAATTCACATGGTAGGATTTGTAAAGAATTTATTCGTAAATTAGGGTGGAAAATAAGTATTTGGTCAATAACAAAAATACAACTCAATACTTTGTAACATAACCTTTGTTGGCAATAACAGAGGTCAAACGTTTCCTATAGGTCTTTACCAGGTTTGCACACACAGTAGCTGGTATTTTGGCCCATTCCTCCATGCAGATCTTCTCCAGAGCAGTGATGTTTTGGGGCTGTCGCCGAGCAACACGGACTTTCAACTCCCGCCACAGATTTTCTATGGGGTTGAGGTCTGGAGACTGGCTAGGCCACTCCAGGACTTTCAAATGCTTCTTACGGAGCCGCTCCTTTGTTGCCCGGGCGATGTGTTTTGGATCATTGTCATGTTGGAAGACCCAGCCTCGTTTCATCTTCAAAGTTCTCACTGATGGAAGGAGGTTTTGGCTCAAAATCTCACGATACATGGCCCCATTCATTCTGTCCTTAACACGGATCAGTCGTCCTGTCCCCTTGGCAGAAAAACAGCCCCATAGCATGATGTTTCCACCCCCATGCTTCACAGTAGGTATGGTGTTCTTGGGATGCAACTCAGTATTCTTCTTCCTCCAAACACGACGAGTTGAGTTTATACCAAAAAGTTCTACTTTGGTTTCATCTGACCACATGACATTCTCCCAATCCTCTGCTGTATCATCCATGTGCTCTCTGGCAAACTTCAGACGGGCCTGGACATGCACTGGCTTCAGCAGTGGAACACGTCTGGCACTGCGGGATTTGATTCCCTGCCGTTGTAGTGTGCTACTGATGGTGACCTTTGTTACTTTGGTCCCAGCTCTCTGCATTCACCAGGTCCCCCCGTGTGGTTCTGGGATCTTTGCTCACCGTTCTCATGATCATTTTGACCCCACGGGATGAGATCTTGCGTGGAGCCCCAGATCGAGGGAGATTATCAGTGGTCTTGTATGTCTTCCATTTTCTGATGATTGCTCCCACAGTTGATTTTTTCACACCAAGCTGCTTGCCTATTGTAGATTCACTCTTCCCAGTCTGGTGCAGGTCTACAATACTTTTCCTGGTGTCCTTCGAAAGCTCTTTGGTCTTGGCCATGGCGGAGTTTGGAGTCTGACTGTTTGAGGCTGTGGACAGGTGTCTTTTATACAGATGATGAGTTCAAACAGGTGCCATTCATACAGGTAACGAGTGGGGGACAGAAACGCTTCTTACAGAAGACGTTACAGGTCTGTGAGAGCCAGAGATTTTCCTTGTTTGAGGTGACCAAATACTTATTTTCCACCCTGATTTACGAATAAATTCTTTATAAATCCTACCATGTGGATTCATGGATTTTTTTTTCACATTCTGTCTCTCACAGTTGAAGTGTACCTCTGGTGCAAATTACTGACCTCTGTCATCATTTTAAGTGGGGGAACTTGCACAATCGGTGGCTGACTAAATACTTTTTTGCCCCACTGTATATTGTAGTTTATCTTTGTTAGGGATGCGGTGCAGTGAAGGAGTCTAATATTTGGGCCACAGTCAGCACATAATGTGAATTAGGAGGTTGTAACACACCCACCATCCTGTTACAGTGAATCCTGCCTGTTAAGGAGATCTGAAACAGCGACACACATATACAGTGTGTGTGATGGTGGACAGGATAACAAACAGTACAGTCACTTAGCACATTTATCTGACAAAACCATTACACAGATGAGGATAGGGGGAAAGGGGAGGGAGAAGGAGGAAAGAAGGAGGAAAGAGAATGAAGGACGTCCGTTTTGCTCAGGGTTGGCAAACAGTCACTAACACACAACTGATCTCAAATTCTGCAGTCTGACTGTGCAACATTTGCCTTTGTAATAAGTAATGAACACATGTTAGAAGTTTATATCTAACAAGTCAGCAGGATGTTGATTACTTTGGTGCAAAAATGCACAATTCATCACCAGGACATGGAGGAAACTGCACATCTCACTTGAGTCATCATTTTTAACCTTTTAGAGACACCTCGCTCACCTCTTTCTGAATGCCAATGACGTAAAAGGTTTTTCCTTCAAACTTCAGCTTGCTAACGTCAGCCCTGCAAACAAACACAGAGTTAAGACTTTGAAATATCTGCAGATGAGAGTTAAATATAGGCTAAATGCTAAACTTAAAGCTTTAAGTACATTTAAAGTTCTGCTGTCATTGATTGTGTCATTGTAAAGATGTCTTCACAAGAAGCCACCCAAGCAACACAAGTTCCAGTTGCTGATGTCATAGAGAAAAAATGCCAGTTAAAAGAAATATTGAGTTAAAAGAAACTTTGATTAAAGGAGCAAATGTATATTTGTACTATGGTTGGCCTATAACTGTTAACCAGGTACAAGTAGAGCAACTTAGAATAGTACCTTTAGGTAGGCAACCTCCTTAAGACCAACAAACAGCATCACAGTCTGAAGTGATTACACTCACTCTCAGAAAGTTTGGTAGGATTTGCAAATAACTGCAGCCGAACAGATTGGCAACACATTGCAATCAATCTGCGTAAGTCTGCACGATGAGCAGAACTTGCTTACAACGCATCTCTTAGCAACAGAGGACTTGACTCAGCTGGTTGTCAGCTGGTTGTATTCTTTTTATATTTCTATATAAAACTAAGGTTGCTAAGCGCCTACGTCATTTTGCCATTAAATCGCCATCTATCGCCATTTATCACAGTTATTCGCTGTAGTATCACAAACAGATTGCAGGTAATTGCCAACGTGATGCCATTCATTGGCAAAAGATAGCAGAGTTCCTATAAAGCTGCAACTATTTTAAACGCGATGACTTTGCAAATTAAAGTGCAAAGTTCATTGCACTGCCATTTGTTGGGCTGCGTTCATATTCTTTTTTAAAAAATTTTACACACATAGCTCATTTCAAAAAATATTGTGTTTTTATCAGTTTAATTACCAATGGTGCATAGTTTAAAATAACACTATCAATTCTTATTACTTTTGATAGATAAACTACATTTTTCTCCTTATTCTTATGAACTTTTGTTTAAAACTATGAATATGGAGGTACTACAACTGCTGCTTAAGGAAAGCATGGCTATAGGAAAGTGTATTTTAACACTCTGTAGCAATATAATCTTATAGATGTCATGTTTAAATAAACAAACGGTTCTGCCTGCAAGGAAAAGTTAGAGATGATTATTTTAATTTGCTTCTAATAAAAATTATAAGTTTAGCAATACTTCAGCGATAAAGCATAAATATAGAGTTTTCTGCAGTTAGCTTTGTTAGTGATTAGACATTTAATATTTATGTTTAATGATTGACAATTGTGGCTACACATTGTAGTGGTTTGCTTTTTTCCCAGCATACAAAAGACTCCCAGTTCGAGACTGGAGACGGTAATCCGTTAAATGCTGTGAAGGGAAGGGCGTCTGGTGTAAGAATCTAACAAATCAAATATGTGGAGCCTTCTGCTGTGCTGACAACCTGTGATTAAGGGAGCAGCCAAAAGAAGCTTTTTACAGGTTGATGTTTTTACCATTTGAGGAGGTGAATCCTCTTGTTTCCCTGGAAGACCACAAAACCTGTGGCTGTGAACCCAAGAAAGGCAGTAGAGCCTGTAAAGTCCTGAAAAAAACACATATCACAGCATGTAAGGCAAGTGGACTATCTATGACCTCATTGGTTGATGCACAAAATCCCATGTTTGTCATTAAACTTTTTAATTAATCAAGAACAAGGCAGTTAAAATACCGACTGATGGACTAAATCTGATGTAGTGAGGAAAAATCAAAATAATAACTTCCACATCATTAATCATCAGTAAATCTCTAAATTTGTATTCATCTTTATATATCTGTGTAAATCCCTCCCTTTCCCCTGTGTGCTTCCCACATCTTAGTGCTTACTTACTTTATCTCCATAGATCTGCATGTGCATGCTAGTACAGTACTTGCAGTAACAGCTATTTCCAGCAAACTAATTTAAAAAAAAGCCTGCCAGACAAGAGTGGAACAGATAAAGGGGATCCTTCCCACTAGACAGAATTTAAATATCTTGTTAATCTGCTTTGTATCCTTTGATTTGTCTGTTCACAAGAGGATGTCCCTATTTCACACTTCAGCTTGGCAGAAGATGAACAGAAAGGATGAGAGCGAGCCATGAGCAAGTTGTAAAATATTGTTTTTCTTTATCAGATGCAGTCTGTTCAATCTATTGGGATAGCACAAGAAACAAAGAAACAAGTAACAGGAGAATGAAGCAGAATAGCAAGTGTAACATATCTGATAGTACAGTTTAGTTTTAGCAATTTAAAGCTGAAAGACAAATCAATGACACTGACTAACCATGGTGGTCTCTGATCAGTCAGTGAAGTCACTGTGTCCTCAGAACAGTGGCTTCTTTATGGATCTAGTTTATTTAGTTTTCAAGGAGGGAACATTAACTAGCTGGCTTGGATGTGATAGCGTAAATTGCACATAAGCTCTTGGCCTTAAATTATTTCCTAATCTGCTTGGAGCAAGTATGTGAGGCCAGGTAGACAGGTGCTATAATGCGACACGCCACTGGATGGAGCTGTTTCTTTTTTGAGCAATAGAGACGTTTACGGAATTGCTAGCTTGCGTCGGTGCAACACGTGTGTGCAACGGTGTTTTCGTGTAGTAGTAGTAGCAGTGGGTTACCAGTGTGGAGAGCTATTAATTGGTGACAGCTGTCGGCAAAATATTATTTTCTTGCAAAACCTTCATATTTTCATCTGGACACTTACTTAATCTGTGTCCTGGGCTGGTTAATTTTGCCAGCTGCACAGCTGGTGTGATTGTCCATAAAATACAGTATGTACCATCTGTCTATAAGGTCACAACAAATTGCACAGGCCCAACCATAGACTGTGTGCAAAAGAGATGAATGTAGCTTTTGCATCTGAAAAGTTCATCCAATGCATAATTGCCTTAAAACGTGCATAGTTTTTAATGGCCAGCAGGGGGCGCCTCATGTTGGTGCAAAAACACTTCTGGGTGTATACAAGTCTTTGGGAAAACAGCCCTTGGCTCTCTTGCTCTGTCAGCTCAGCAAACCCTTTTTTCGTGACTTTATGAGCTCAACCCTTAGTTTAAGCTTGTACTTAATAAAATATTACTTTCTTTTCTAAAAACTTATGGTCATTATTAAAATGGGAAAACTATACTCACTGGCTGTTGAGCTGTACATCTGAAATTATTAGTCAATGAATGTGTGGTTTCACAGTCATATCCAGCACTAGCTTTTTAGATGGCAAAAATACTCACCTCAAAGCTTTAGAACGGGAGCTCACTAATCAACATATGACACGGTGGCTACATCCATCTTTTATATACAGTCTATGGAACACGCAACACCCTATGATGACGAAATCACACGAACACAAGTGGATACGCACATGCTTGTGTGCATGGAAAGTATAACACCCACATGAAGCCATCTGTGTGGAAATCAGTGCGTAACCCATTATGTGTAAAGCTACTGTGTACTGTATATATTCTCCAGTTACGTTACCTTGCATGGGTGAGGGTCGACTCCATATGTTTCAAGACTGTGAGCCCTTTGGAGCATGTTCAGCTCTGCTAGTTCAGCACACTGGCCCCTGATAGAAAATAGAGGAAAGGAGAGACCCAACTTTATACACTGACAGACTGAAGAATATGTTATTAAGGTGTTCCTATGTTGGATTACTTTCAATTGGATTTCATTTAAATGTCGGATACAACCAGATAGAAAATCAATACATGCAATTATCTTATTAGAGTTTTGAGATTTAAAGGTCAATATCTAGAGAGTTTGGTTGTGAACAAATTTGCGTTGACTTTTTATTCTAAGGATTGCTATTTTTTCTCCAGAAAGAACAGCACTAACCCTCCACTGCTAGGCTAGTTTCTTTTACAAGGACAAGGTTGCTTGTCGTACTAAGTCTACAGTATTTAGACAATATCAGTTTAAATAAAAGTATTACAGAATTTTTAACCAATTAAAGTGAGTACACTTATCTCTTATTATTATAAAAGGAAACAGTCATAACAAACCAGGCAAAGGGGTTGTGGGGGGGGCGGGGCATTAATGCTTTACTTGCTCATTAGTCTAAGTGCTGCAAAATTAGGAAAATGAGTGTGGTACACTGGTTCACTTCAAGACTCCAGACATATAAATCAACTTTAAAATTGCACACGTATATATTGGATCTGTCTGTGCAGATAAAGGAAAGCATAAAAACCATTACAGAATGCCTGTGGAAATGTAGCTTGCAGACAGAGTGCTTCCCATTCAAAAATCACCTGAAGTCTCTGTACAGCTCAGTACTGATCAACATGCTGTTAATCCTGTCAGTCGTACCCATCGGGCCAGACAGAGGGCACTTGGCATCATCTGCCTCTGTGCTGTGGGAAATGAAGGATTTGTCTTTGATGTTTTATAATCACTGTTAAGTGTGACGGTCACGACATTATTAATCGCTGCAGCAACACACAAACAACCCAGGAGAGGGGATTTATGTATACAGTACTGCATGTAATGTAGAAACTTATTCTGTACCTGTAGAGTACATAGTCAATCTACTGAGTACATGCTTTTTTAATGACTCTTTACTCAAACTATTCTTTATTGCAGAACCATTTTCCCTTCAGGAAAGGTAATCACATGGTTGAAAAGAGGCGAATAAGGGTTCAAAGATACAGTTGTGGTACCCAGAATGCCTAGCTTTTGTTCATATGCAAAAGAACACAAGACGATCAAATTTATCAGGGATGAGTGATTTTCATCAAAATTTAAATTCTGTAGTAGTAACAAGCAAGGTGTCTAAACGGAGCATGAAATAAATAATTCATGCTCATTCCTCTAAGCTAATGGATGTTTTTATTTACTTTCAAACAAATCTCGACTGAGAATACCTTCTCCAGTGCAATGAAGCTTAAATCTCTGGGTATCACACAATTCTGTGTCTAACCAGAAAGAAAGGCAGCATTTTATTGTCTGCTGTGTAGACAGTTGTCTCAGCAGTCTGTTTTAAAACACAGATCACAGGAGTGAGCATAGCACCTGCCACCAACATCAAACGGTACAACAATAAAAAAAGTACTGGCGGCCGCTAGTGCTATCCCTCAGCCTCCTAGTAGATGCACCTATGGTATAAATGTGCAACTCCTTCATCACCTTGTTATTGTGTTCTCAAGATCTTCAAAAAAGTAGCTGCGCCAAAGCTCAATTAATTCAAAAATCCTACATTGCCTTATCATCGAGTTATCACATTCACAAACTTGGCTGTACACACTGCCTGTCTGCCTGGCGAGGTGATAACAATACCCCCAAAAAGCCCACAATAGACCAAAAAAGCCTTCTCCAGACAAACAGCAAAACCACGAGACAAAAAATATATATATTAGTCTTTCACCTGAGCTCATTCTTGTGAATTTCCATTATCTTCCTCTCCAGTTTGAGGGATTGTTTAGGGAACAGCTTGAAGTCTCTGATGTAGTCTGATGGGTGCTCCTCTGGGTCATAGTCCCCAAGCTCAGCTATAAAGAGAAAGGGTGATTTCAGTAAAAATATTATCTGAAAATAGGTCAAATACATCAGGAAATGGGTATACATTGTTAACTTATTGAAAGAACTAATTTAACACACCTTGACTGCATATATAGTATGAAGCTACAATTAGTAGTCATGTTGCTCAGGTTAACATAAAAACTGCATTGTAAAGCAAAATTAAATAAAGAAAGATGTTTTATTTTGCAAATAAGCTTTACTCAACTTGAACGTTGCATATTAAGCAAGCTTATAATTTGTAACTTTAATTTTATAGTACTTATTCCATTTACATGCAACTGCTTCTATATTTATATTGTAGGATTGCAAATGGCTGGGTCAGAACAGTTATAGACTGCAAGCTATTATTAGGCATGGTCACATGCCTGTTTTGTATTTGTGTGTAAAGTGTTAGAATAGCTGTGACACCATGAGTGCAGCGGGTGGCTGGACTAACGGCTATGGTAAATGGCCTGTATTTGTATAGCGCTTTACTCAGTCCCTAAGGACCCCAAAGCGCTTTACACTACATTCAGTCATTCACCCATTCACACACACTGGTGATGGCAAGCTACATTGTAGCCACAGCTGCCCTGGGGCGCACTGACAGAGGCGAGGCTGCAGGACACTGGCAGCACCGGGCCCTTTGACCACCAGTAGGCAACGGGTGAAGTGTCTTGCCCAAGAACACAATGACCGAGACTGTCCGAACCAGCAACCTTCCGATTACAAGACGAACTGCCAACTCTTGAGCCACGATTGCTCTGGCTACGACCATATTAACAGTTAGGGTTAAAAAACTTCCAGTTTTCCCCCACAGAAAAATAGAAAGCATATATAGCACCAAGTACAAAATGCCCGCTGTAATATTAAACAGCTTTGTATCATCAGCAAATTTCCTGGTTGCTCAAATTAAGACAAAGGCCCAAAGACAGATCTTTCCCTTATTAATTTTTTTTATTTCCACAGAATAAGATACTTATGAGCAATTGACTCAAATAACAGATCATTGTTGTGCTCATTGAATCCACTAATTTATTTTTTTAATGATATCTTAATTAAGTATCTTTATAAAGGTTTAATCAAAAACTTGCCTGGAGTTTAATTAAACAATAATCCTCAAACTATTCCCCAGCTCTATAATCAACACCCTGACAAAGTAGGACAGAGACCTGTCGTAGTTAATCAGAGCAGCCAATGATACACTGCAGACATGCTCTGTTTTGAGATAAGTGAACCAGTCACACTCTCTTCTCTGGGGATATGAGCCAATCAGAGGGTGTTAGCAGAGTTCAAGGATTTGTGTATGAGCCACAAGGGTTCATTTATATGATAAAGCCCAGCTAATTCTTTTCTTAATCCATATTAAAGCAAGTGGCTCTGCGCTGTGATTCAGCATTAAACGGTTACGTTTAATTGACTGTAGAAAAAAATCTCTTCTATTCCTTTTCCCAGTAGTCCACATACATCTACTTTTTAAAAAAAAAGTAGGATAATGACAGTGTGATGCTGTGAAATGCAGCCGGTTAATGAGGACAAACTTAGTCAAACAGGGGTTAGACTGTGGTTACACAGAGGTTGGATGAAAGTTCAGTTACATTTGATATAATTAGGTAAGATCATTGTTTGGTTCAAATACACAGTTAAGCACATTAAATTAACTGAGTGTTGAATTTTACCCAACACAGTGCAAGAGGATGCTCAAATTTAAAACTATAATTCTGTAACGCTAGATTAACAGACTGCGTAACTATACATAGTAATGACAGTTAGCTGAACTTTTTAAATGCTTGAATAAGACAAGTATTTATAAATCAGCAAAATGTAAATAAAAAAAAAAGCACATGGGTATTTCAGAATAGAAATCTTGAATTAAACAAACTTAAAACATCACTTTGACTTATAAAGTTATTTCAGTAACCTAAAAGAGGTATTTTACTTTTAGTTGGCATCATTTTTAAATTTCCTAAACGTTTGTTCTTTGCAATGAGCTTGTTTATTCAAGTTTAATGAAGAAAATGATAAACCTGCAAACATGTGGACTACAGTTGATATATCTGATTTTACATGTTAAAATTGTGTTTGTCAGTGATTTTCTATAAATGACATTAAAAAGCACTGATGATAAAAACATCAGATAGACAAACTAGCATTAGATAGTGTGGTGTTGGTGGGTAGTTGGATATTTACAATCAATAAACAGTATCTCCTCCACCTCACCCCCACGGATAATGTCAGATGGCCTACTCTCACTGAGGTTTATTCCTGCTAAAAGGGAGTTTTTCCTTCCCACTGTTGCCAAAGCCCTTGCTTATATTGGGTCATATCATCGTTGAGGTTTTCTCTATTTTCTTGGTATTATCTTAGTGTTGTTGTGATTTGGGACTATATTCAAATTTTGATTTAATTTAATTTATTTAATATTTAAATAATATGGATTAAATAAGGAAATAAATGCATTTGCAGGCACAAACAGTGATTTGTTAGTAGTTATTTTACAGCTTGTGCTTTCGGACTTCAGCTGATTACTTTTGATTTGAGGCTACAGACTACAGATTTCATTGTCAAGAGTCAACAGCTCAGGCACCGTAACTCAAATTTGTAATTACAGTTTCTTAACTTAATTTGATGTGTTCATTCTATTCAAATTATGAAGCACTTTGCAAATGTGCATTCTGGAAAAGGCTAGAAAATATTATCCTTATTCTTATTCTTATTACAGCCACAACCCAAGCAGCTCAGTCATTTCAGTAATAGCAGCCCTTATAATTTACAAATTAAATTGTGTAAATGTATATGTGTGATTTTCATTTAAAACTCCAACATGTCACCAAGGATGTAATTGTGAAATATTGGCTACATCTCTAATACATCCACTATGAGTAAGTCCTCACCCTGTATGATGCAGGCTCCCAGATATGCAGCTTCAGCAAAAGGACACAGTAGACGACCATGATAGATGTCTCTCTTCAACTGAAGGTACAGGAGATACCTGGATGCACATGCATGCATAAAGTTACAGAAATAAATTCTTATAGCATAAATACAGATTTTTATTTAAAATAAATCAAATAAATAAAAGACGTTTAATTACAATATACTATATAAAGCCACTGCTCACATTATGAAGGGGAACCAATACCCCGCTTTCACAATTTCTATTTCCAAATAGTTTGGATGAAAATTCACCACCCAATGAGAAAGTAACAATCTGAAACTGTTGCCATGGTAGTTAAGGAAAGTATAACTATGGCAACATACATCTTCACCAGCAGAATGTGGTACTTTAGCTACTATGGAAACACCTTCAGTGCTACTGACATGCAGACTTGTCTCGTGTTAGCGTGAAGACAAAAAAAAAGTGGGGAACAGATGAGTTTCCAGTTGGGACGTCACCACTGAGTCAACTGACTCATCAAACTTGTTTTTCATTGAGGGAAAGACACAGGAGAGGCAAAGCATAAAAGATTGAATGGAGCGAAAACACTGCTGCTGTAGCTAAATAGTTTTATTTATAGAGTCAGAGTGCTGCTGACTCTATAAATAAACACCATGATCTACATTTAGATAATTTTTCTTTCTTTGTGCTTCCTCTTATTTTAGGACATTGAGTCAGAATGTCTGCGTACACAGATTTGCTTTTCAGGTTTCTTAAATGACTTAAGCATAGAAAAATCCAGATTAAGATTTGGTGCACACTTAAACACAGAAATTATGTCGTTATTCTGCATGAAGATAAATGTCCGAGATAAATTTAAATTCTACAAAAAGAGCACCTTTATATACTTCAGTTTGCAAGTATGAATGAATAATGTCAATATAGTATAAATAATTGACAAAATATGTCAAACTTCTTCATGTGAGTGCATTCTTTTACACAAATAATGTTAAAATTACTCATGTGTGTTATATTGGCTAGATAAGTAATATAGTCAGCCTGACTCTGTAAAATCCTTAGATAACGATTAAGTGCTGACTTTGCCCTTTACAGTTTTTTCTGATTGCTTAAGCACATTTTTTGTAACTATTGGCTAATTTTGCAAAACTCTTCACACAAATAAGAAAACCTGTCACCCAATAATCAAAACATTGTAGTTCTCTTGCAAAAGCAAACACAGCTAGATTAACTCTTCACACCTTCGTAAAAATGGTGTTTCCGTATCAAACAGTACACACAAGCCATCATCTACTAAGCACACAATGCGCCAACTGCACACTGATGGTATGAATACAAAACACATCTGGCCTTTGCTTTCTCTGTGCACAAGGTAGGCTATGTCAGTTTGAGCTCATACTTCTGTCATAGATCTATAAGCATAGAGGGATCCAAACTTCAAGTACTGGTGTTTATTCAAACACATCAAAACAAACACAAGTGTTTATTTCCAAGTATAGGATTATTTGCAATCGCCATAATGACTATATGGGTTACTTGGTCTGCAGTGAACATGCTTCCTCTGCCCCAGCATCTGGTCATCTAGCAATTCTGTAAAGTAACAATTTCAGTATTTTTACATCAATGGTATTGGTGTGTTTCTCATTGGCATATGGCAGTGCTACAAATCTTTGTGCAAAGTGACTGTACTGACCGATTCTCATTTCAATATGTCCTTATGGTACTTGCTACAGTGTAGCGGCTCAGTTTAGGCTGGACCCGTTGGCCAGCTACCCTCAGGGTCATTCCACGGTTGATGACATGGTCCACTATTGTAGCTCTGATGTCATCAGCAATTCTATTTCTTACTCTTCCTACCCTTCCTCTCCCCCCTCCTCATCTTCCTCTCCCCCCTCCTCGTCTTCCTCTTGCTCCTCCTTGTCCTTGTCGTCCTCTTCATCCTATTTCTTCACCTCCACGTCCTCTTCCTCGGCCTCCTCTACTTCTCACTCTTTCTGCTCCCTCCATTGTACTCTGCACACACAGCTTACCTGTATTATAGTGCTTAGGCTGATTGCAAAGTGAACTAATTATCTAAGAAAGTTTTGACATGTGAAAGTGTGCCAGACAGTTGGCAAATTAGTGTTAATGATAGCCATACATGTGTATACTTTTGCTAGGAGTGTGTTGGAAATTTGGTAATTGAGTGTTGTGCAGTGAATTATGCCTACAGTTTTGCAAAGTGTGTGTTACAAAATTGCAAACTGAGTGCAAAGCAGTTTTTGTGCTTTTAGTTTTGCAAACTCAGTGAGTGGTTTTGCTATAAGTCTGAATAGTTTTAGAGATTGTGCTACAGGAATCACAGTTAGGGTTTAAGCATTCAGAAAAAACTGTAATTCCAGCACTGTGAAATATTTGTGTATGAAAATGAACAGAGACACACAGTCAGCATTTGGTGAACTCTGAACTGCATATTTAATTAAAAACAAAAAAAAAAAGAAGTCCCTATGCACTTTTCTGCCGTGCTAAAAATTACACCTGTTAGCAATTAATATCTGTAATGTGAGGTACCAAACACCTAATACCATAATCAATAATTACTAGAGATGGCACGATACCACTTTTTTATGTCCGATACCGATACCGATATCATAAATTTGGATATCTGCCGATACCGATATGAATCCGATATAGTGTTTTTTAATCAACAAAACTGTTTTTTAAATATCTTGCTGCATTTTGTATAAGTTCATACTCAAGTTTAAAACAACAACTACACTAAAGCTATTCTGTTATACCTGTATGCAAAAAAAAATATTTCATAGTTCAGCAATACTGATCAATCTAATAAACTTACAGTTTTTTACAGATGCTAGGACACATTTCCCAATACTTAGGTCACTTTTGCAAAACTCTTCACACAATCCTCCTAACTGACCGTCAGCTTGGCAAAGCAGTTCATTTCACATTCAAAATGCACTACAACTAACAAAAGACTTCATTCAGGTCTCAAATAAACTCATTCTTCCAGAACACTAGCAAAGGTTGACAGCCGACAAACACACTTTGTCACCCACAAAACAATGACCTAAAAAACACTAACAACATGTAGCATTACACAGTGTTTTCTTGTGTAAAACAAGGACACATCTCTGTTTATAATTTCAATATATGTTACTGGAATGAATCAGACATCATGCAGAATTCATTAATATTTGTTTATGTATTTTTATTTTTTTGCACTAAGTAATCCCAAAATACAAGAATTTGTATACACACCATCCACTGATACACATACAATAGTAATGCTATTCTACTCGGTCTTCTCCATTTGGCCACATCACATCTTATGTCATCTAGGGCAATGCACCTAGGAAAGAATCTTCTGGCATGCGAGAATTGAAGGAGTTGAAAAATTGAAGGAGTAACACCTGTGTAGATGTTCATCTACAATGAGAATAAGCTGTGGCTGGTTAAACTGCATTTTTAGATTTAACATATGTTTCAATAAAATATTGCTGTTGGATTTTGCTGTCTTTTCAAGTTTTGCATTGTGTTATTGTTTTGGCCATAAGTTTAACAGTTTTTTCTGAATGCTTAAACCCTAACTGTGATTCCTGTAGCACAATCTCTAAAACTATTCAGACTTATAGCAAAACCACTCACTGAGTTTGCAAAACTAAAAGCACAAAAACTGCTTTGCACTCAGTTTGCAATTTTGTAACACACACTTTGCAAAACTGTAGGCACAATTCACTGCACAACACTCAATTACCAAATTTCCAACACACTCCTAGCAAAAGTATACACATGTATGGCTATCATTAACACTAACTTGCCAACTGTCTGGCACACTTTCACATGTCAAAACTTTCTTAGATAATTAGTTCACTTTGCAATCAGCCTAAGCACTATAATACAGGTAAGCTGTGTGTGCAGAGTACAATGGAGGGAGCAGAAAGAGTGAGAAGTAGAGGAGGCCGAGGAAGAGGACGTGGAGGTGAAGAAGTAGGATGAAGAGGACGACAAGGACAAGGAGGAGCAAGAGGAAGACGAGGAGGAGGGAGAGGAAGATGAGGAGGGGGGAGAGGAAGGGTAGGAAGAGTAAGAAATAGAATTGCTGATGACATCAGAGCTACAATAGTGGACCATGTAATCAACCGTGGAATGACCCCCAACGGGTCCAGCCTAACTCGAGCCGCTACACTGTAGCAAGCACCATAAGGACATCTTGAAATGAGAATCGGTTAGTACAGTCACTTCGCACAAAGATTTGTAGCACTGCCATATGCCAATGAGAAACACACCAATACCATTGATGTAAAAATACTGAAATTGTTACTTTACAGAATTGCTAGATGACCAGATGCTGGGGCAGAGGAAGCATGTTCACTGCAGACCAAGTAACCCATATAGTCATTATGGCGATTGCAAATAATCCTATACTTGGAAATAAACACTTGTGTTTGTTTTGATGTACTTGAAGTTTGGATCCCTCTATGCTTATGGATCTATGACAGAAGTATGAGCTCAAACTGACATAGCCTACCTTGTGCACAGAGGAAGCAAAAGCCAGATGTGTTTTGTATTCATACCATCAGTGTGCAGTTGGCGCATTGTGTGCTTAGTAGATGATGGCCTGTGTGTACTGTTTGATACGGAAACACCATTTTTACGAAGGTGTGAAGAGTTAATCTAGCTGTGTTTGCTTTTGCAAGAGAACTACAATGTTTTGATTATTGGGTGACAGGTTTTCTTATTTGTGTGAAGAGTTTTGCAAAATTAGCCAATAGTTACAAAAAATGTGCTTAAGCAATCAGAAAAAACTGTAACAGTTTTGAAAACAGTATGTAAGCACATGCAAAATGTCCTGTACGTACAAAGATTTTTGGCAGTTGTTGTGTCTGAGTGAGAAGATGATTCATGAAATTTGAGAGATGTAGTCATTGAATGCATTTTGTGCCAAAACAATGATAACTGGTCCTCAGTTTAGCCCACATAGACTTCTGTTGTGCTCACTGTGTGAGGAGTTTTGCAAACGTGACCTAAGTATTGAGAAATGTGTCCTAGCGTCTGTAAAAAACTGTAAACCTGCACCATCCTCCCTATTCTGGTATTTTAAAGAGTACTTAGCGTAAATATTGAGCAACCTAACTAATAGGGTTCCAACTCCCAGCAACAAAAATAAATAAATAAAAAATGGGGAACCACCCCTCACACTCCACCTCATGATGCTTAATCGACGTAATCAACCTTAATTTGATGCAGTGTGAAAAAAAATGCACAGAAATCAATTATTTTTCAAGAAATATTAAATAGATTCAACATCTTTCTTCAACAAAATTGCAGACTGCACAGATGATACCTTCCCAAAGGAAAAAGTACTATAGCTTACTAGGGTATATATATTATACATACAGTTTTTTCTGATTGCTTAAGCACATTTTTTGTAACTATTGGCTAATTTTGCAAAACTCTTCACACAAATAAGAAAACCTGTCACCCAATAATCAAAACATTGTAGTTCTCTTGCAAAAGCAAACACAGCTAGATTAACTCTTCACACCTTCGTAAAAATGGTGTTTCCGTATCAAACAGTACACACAAGCCATCATCTACTAAGCACACAATGCGCCAACTGCACACTGATGGTATGAATACAAAACACATCTGGCTTTTGCTTTCTCTGTGCACAAGGTAGGCTATGTCAGTTTGAGCTCATACTTCTGTCATAGATCCATAAGCATAGAGGGATCCAAACTTCAAGTACATCAAAACAAACACAAGTGTTTATTTCCAAGTATAGGATTATTTGCAATCGCCATAATGACTATATGGGTTACTTGGTCTGCAGTGAACATGCTTCCTCTGCCCCCAGCATCTGGTCATCTAGCAATTCTGTAAAGTAACAATTTCAGTATTTTTACATCAATGGTATTGGTGTGTTTCTCATTGGCATATGGCAGTGCTACAAATCTTTGTGCGAAGTGACTGTACTAACCGATTCTCATTTCAAGATGTCCTTATGGTGCTTGCTACAGTGTAGCGGCTCGAGTTAGGCTGGACCCGTTGGGGGTCATTCCACGGTTGATTACATGGTCCACTATTGTAGCTCTGATGTCATCAGCAATTCTATTTCTTACTCTTCCTACCCTTCCTCTCCCCCCTCCTCATCTTCCTCTCCCTCCTCCTCATCTTCCTCTTGCTCCTCCTTGTCCTTGTCGTCCTCTTCATCCTATTTCTTCACCTCCACGTCCTCTTCCTCGGCCTCCTCTACTTCTCACTCTTTCTGCTCCCTCCATTGTACTCTGCACACACAGCTTACCTGTATTATAGTGCTTAGGCTGATTGCAAAGTGAACTAATTATCTAAAAAAGTTTTCACATGTGAAAGTGTGCCAGACAGTTGGCAAGTTAGTGTTAATGATAGCCATACATGTGTATACTTTTGCTAGGAGTGTGTTGGAAATTTGGTAATTGAGTGTTGTGCAGTGAATTGTGCCTACAGTTTTGCAAAGTGTGTGTTACAAAATTGCAAACTGAGTGCAAAGCAGTTTTTGTGCTTTTAGTTTTGCAAACTCAGTGAGTGGTTTTGCTATAAGTCTGAATAGTTTTAGAGATTGTGCTACAGGAATCACAGTTAGGGTTTAAGCATTCAGAAAAAACTGTAATAGTTACTATATACAGTAATGGACTTCTATTCATTTTGCATCAAATTAAAACTTTGGGTGTCAGATAATTATTTATTAAAAGCTAGACATTTTAAATGAGAATAAGAAAGAAAAGTATGTCTTTGTGCCCCCTTTTCCCTGTTAATGCCCTATCGGCCCCCCTGGCTAAACTTTGCTAGATCCGCCCCTGCACAGTTACAGCCGTCAGCTACGTAGAAAAAGATCCTGGTGTAGAAAGTAATATTAAATACATTCTAACAACAGCTGATCAAGCTTAAACGTGCTGCTGTTGTTCAGCCGCTGGTTTCCTCTTTCTGGTGCGAAGTGGGCCAAAAGCAAACTAGAGACACGGACTCATGACAGAAAAGCCGATCAGCTGATCATTAAGCAGTTTCATGATTGAAGTAGCAGCAAGAAGAAGCAGTCGCTCCATATATCTCTTGTTAAGCTTAACGCAGGAATGCTTTACAAACATTCAGAGATGGACTTACACACTTGCTTTACTTCTCTCGGGATAACTTTGTCGGAGATGAAATGCCGGGTTGCTAGCGAAGCTCCAAATGCTATCCAGACCACCACAGGTCCCGCATGCCACAGCCGCTCTATCATGTGATGCATACTGCTCCGACGTGCTAACGTTCTGAGGTGAGTTACGGCGTGTTGCAAGTTTTGTGAGGTGCTTTCGTGATATTTAATGGATCGGATTACATTTTTTATTTTTCTCCGATATCCGATCCAGTAATTTAGGTCAGTATCGGACCGATACCGATACGTAATATTGGATCGGTCCATCTCTAATAATTACAGATCTATAGAACAGTGGGTTAACTTTTTCATCTATCTTCAGTAGTGCTTCATATACAAGAGTTAAAATTACATCTTGCAAACTGGAGCAGGCACATTTTACCATTAAAAGTTTGGGGATTTTGATGATGGGAAAAAAATTGCTCCCAGACATAACTCCATATTGAGAACTCGACAGGATTTTATTACTGACTGCATTTCCTTCTGAACTTTTCCGACTCATCTCAACTTCATCTTCCACTTCAAACTTATAAGTAGTGTGCCAGTGTGATGCTTTTCCTTAGGACTCTAAGAAGAGGTTGTTTGTTTCTTTAGGACACGTGAATGAACAGAAATGGACACGCAGCTCTTTCAGAGGGAGGAAGAGCTAATAAATAATACATCTGGAGAAAAACTGAAGCAGAATTCAGCTAAGTTGAAATTAGGCAAGAAAAGAGGGATAGGTTCCAGAAATATCTCAAGACAAAAATATAGGACAGAAAGACGCGGAAACGTGACTTGAAAGGTGTGAAGAGACACCTGAGGGTGGAGGGGGAGATGACAGTGAGGAAGAAGAACGATCGACAGCAGGAAGGGAGGAGACACTGGGGGCGGAAAGACAAAAAAAAACAAGCGAAGGCAGAGAGGAAAAAGGATGGAAGTGAATGGATGGAGGAATTGAAGAGAAAATTAGGACTGATAAAGAGAAGCAGAGTTGGTAAGACGTAGGGCAGAGAACACAAGTCCCTGCTGGGTGAGTGTCTCTAATTATCACCGCGCCTGAGAGAAGCTTTGTGTGTTTGGCTCTGTTTTGGCAGAGGTGGCGCTGGTGGTGGAGCAGACTCTCTCCAAATCTTTTATTTAGTTTGTTTACTTATATAGTATCTTCATGGGCTCATCTACAGTTTTGAGAGCCTTCACGTCTGGCTCAGTGTATAACACCGGTGTGTTTGCACTGTGTTCAGTCAATGCCCAACTTTAAGTAATCAATCACTTGAGAACATTTAATAACGCATACTGAAATAGTTTTATAAGTCATATAATAGTCTGTTTTTAGACAAATCAGTCAGACAAAATTAGCCAAATGTCTTCATCTGTCACTAACATATTTTTATTAGGTATAGCTTGCTAGTACCAAGTTGGACTTTCCTTAATTCTGCATGGCAAATACATTTTTCAGAGGCTTTGTTTCATATTGACTTCAACTCACTGGATATTTTCAATTCTTTCAATTCCTCTCTCTAGAGATATTTGTCCATGAAAATCCTCTGAAATACTTTACATTTTCTCTCAGCCTGCCTTCTTTCTCTGTCACTCATACGTCATTGCCAGTGCTTGTTTACCTGGTGAGTTCTTCCTTGATTTTCATTGGCTCATGCGGGTAAAACTTGACCCGGAAGCACATCGTGTACGGCTGCTGAGCTGCTGGAGACAAGAAAGACACGATGTTGAGATGGAAAAACTAAGAGAGACCAGAAACTGTAAGGAAAGTTAAAAGGCTGTTAGAACGTGGAGGAAAAAAGAGGAGATAAGCTTGACAGATATGATAAAGGGAATCAGAAGGAAAGTAGAAGATTTTAAGAAACAGATAAGAAGAGGAAAGAAGAGGAAAGATAAATGAGGGGAAGAGAGGACAGAGGAGCCATGAAGATTATGTAGAAGAAGAAGCTGTGGACAAAAACAGAAACCACAGCATGTCTCCAATACTGATTAGTCACCTCATAATTACAGTAATTACTCTCACACACACACACACACATGGGCATGTGCTTCACTTGAACTGGGGTCTGTTTCTTCTCCTTTGATCTGAGTCCTAAAGCATTTCATATCTCTAGGAGAGGATTTGTGCTTTGAATAGTATTTAAATATGCACCGTAACATACATACACAAGGTTACATAAGCGGTCACAGACACACACACATATACTCAATAACAGGCTGAATGGTTTGGATCAAATGACAGCGATAGCTTCAACTCCCTCCTGAAGTCTCACACAGCTCATCTGCTTATAAACATATTCAATGTTTACCCTGTGAAGTTAGAACATTTACAAGATATACAAACACCAAAACACCGAAACACTGAGAGGAAACCATCATACACAGCAACAGATTTAATTATATACAGTAATTGTATATAATGCATTATAAATAATTTACACTTCCTGAAGTGAAAATAGCACAGATAAGATTTTTTTTGAAGTCTGAATTTATTTTATTTTGGTTATTAAAGAAATAAAACATCTTAAAGGACCCTTTACCCATCTCAACTCCCATTTGGTGTCTTTGGCGCTTACTTACAGTTAAACAGTTAACTGATAGCTTTGGTCTGAGGATCTAGTGATCAAATGCCAGAATTTTGTTTGCTCGATATAAAATTTTCACTCCATGTTTGGTTCAAAGCGTAGATCAAAGCATTGCGGAGATTTGATGTCACTTCCTGTGTGGCAGCTTTGCAATTTGAATTTTCTGATGGACACAATCAATCCAATTTTGTGGTTTTCTACATTTGCTTGCTTTGAGGGTACTCTTTGCCAATTTTGAGAGTGGAAAAAATTGTAGCCTGTGAACTATGTCAGAAAATCTAATATTATGGTTACAGACGCCACGGGGTCCATATCCATTATAGAGGGTCTGTAGCCTCGAATTTGCCTTCTCTGACACATGAATGTTGAAAGCTAATATTTGAAAGTTTGGGGTTTTTTAAGTTCATATCCATAAATGTGCCTCCGGGTTCAGGCCTTTGCTAGTGACAAAGTGTTGAAGGCTATTAATGAAACTTGGGAAAAGGGAATGAAAAAAAAGAAATGGAAACTTTGACCTTCTTTGGGTGATTATAGACTAAAAAGTCAGCAGATGAAAAAAAAATATATATGTTATTATATAATTAACAGCTACAAAACAGCAGGGATGGTTTACAGAAAGACATTTAAACCACGAGAAATAAATCCAACATAACAGCTGAATCACCTGTGCTTCATACGCTACAAATCTTAGAAAAATGAAGGAGTTGTTTTGTCTTTGCTGTTCTCACAGGCGAAGTTTACACACGTGCACATGTGAGTTATTTTGAGTGCACATGGAGAGATTTCAAAGAGGATGAGGCAAAGAGACGCTTAAAACAAAGATGCAAAAGTATCTGATAGGCATTCTGAAGTCAACATCAAGGAGGAAGAAAGTATCATTTCACATGGGATAGAAATCATCCAGAGTGCCCTCACCACTCTCCCTTTAATGGCAGGATCCTCTGCGGTATTATCCAGCTATGAAAAACAGCACACATCTACATAATACATGCTGAGCAATTTGAAAGAGCCAATCCTCCCACCCGCTCCCAAAGAACTTGAGCTGCTTATAATTATTTCTCAAGCTTAAGGGACGAAGAGGTTTTTTTGGAAAACATTGTAGAGAAAGTGAATTGTGCGCGAAAGACATGGCCGTGCAAATGTGATGTTTGCCAACGTACGTAAGCTGGGATGCACAAAGACGAAATAAAACACAAGTGCACGCACACATTGAAACCTAATTTGGGAGTAAATCCTGCCACAGGGAACTGATGTGTCAGTGCAACTCAGATCTATTCAACAACTCCCCTCTAATCTCGTTTTCTTTCTTTCACTCTGTCAGCTTCTCTCATCTCAAACCGTCTCTCCAATCTCCTCTTTTCGCTCTATTTTTCTTCTTTCTTTAGTTACGTTATCTATCACTGTCTCTTTTTAGTACTTTTCCCCCCTTGTTCCCTCTCTCTCACTTCCAGTTTTCACTGATATCCTCAGCCTCCCCCTTCTGTCATCTCACACATGTTCCGATGGAGCAGAATACTTCGCTAATAGCTCTTTTATTAATTTATAACAGGACAGAAAGAACAGGACAGTCATTAAAAGGGTTAGTGAACTTCAGACTGAGACACAGAAAGAAAAGGAGGGTCGGAGGAAAGCCGCTGCAATCTTTCAACACAAGATAGAAATGTAAAGATGTGAAAGAGTAAGTGGAAACGAAGGAAAACAAAGGTGAAAACAAGTACCACTCTCTTATTCACCTTTGTATTGTGTCCTCTTTTAGGGTACTTAGATTGTATGATTATATGTGTCACATTCTCAAGGTTATTATAGTTATACTGAAAAAACATTGGCCAAATCTATCAGAGGCAAACATCAAGAGGGGAAAGGAGGCTGTGCTCAGCTTGAAAACAACCCCTCGGGCTGTTTGTGTAACTCTTATTACAACGTAAAAGTAGCCTCCAGGGACACATTAAATGCCACTCTGGTGACCTTGAAAATGTGAAAACTTGACCTTTCCCTAAAGCCAAATAGAAAGGTTAGCCATGAAACCTAATCAAATGGAACAAACATTGAGCTAAACTGAAGCCCAGACACAACTAGAGCTGCAGTTTCCTGGTAAAAATAAATAAATAAAAAAAATCTGGTGTGTTTGTGTCTCCATCGCTTCTCGTTTCCTTAAGTGAATCTGTTTTCTCTTTGAGGGTGAAACACACCCATGCACTTTATTGGGTACTGTGATGGACCCTTCTGTTTTCAAAACATGCTTAATTTTTCATGCAATTTTATTAACTTTCATCCATATTGCACTACTGGATTTAAAACTCACAATGATGAAAGATATTATTATTCCAGATTCTACTCTACCATGTCAGTGTTGTTGCAGCAGAAATTAAAACCCTTCAGATCAGGCAACATTTTTTCAATCTTCTACTGCCCAATTTTGGTGAGCTCGTTCAAATTGTAGCCCCAGTTTCCTAATCTTAGCTGACAGAAGTAGTATTCAGTGCTAGAGCAGCAGCAGACCACACCAGGTACAACCCCAGTTCTCTTTGAGTTTGTCGTTTTAGTTTAGTTTAGCTTCAGTGTCCTGTTTCCAGAAGATAGGAAGGGTCAAGGAAAGGCATCTTCTGCTGCTGTAGCCCATGTGCTTCTAAGATAAACATGTTGTGTGCTCAGAGATGCTCTTCTGCTTAGATTGTTTCACTAGCGGTTATTTGAGTTCCCTTCCTATCACCTCAAATTAGTCGCATCTGACATTAACAAAGAATTTTTGCCCGGAGAACTGCTGCTAGTGGGGTTTGGTTAATTGGTGATTCTAAATTGCCCATCGGTGTGAATGTGAGTGTTGATGGTTCAGTGTCTCTATGTGTAATAGGCTAGAGCTCGATTTTAACTTCAGCAACTTGTCTTGAGCATGCCTACATGCCTAAATGCTGCTATGTGATTGGTTCATTAGATATTTGTATTAATGAGGTGTTGTATATATGTACCTATGTCACTGCATATTTCATTTCGGTAAACCTTACATGGATACATCCAGAAAATGAATTTTGTCTTACATCGCATTATCCTAAGGACTTGTTAAACAAACAGAATAGTCAAAAATGGGACAACAAAACAGACAAATAAAGTAATCAGATAAAATCTGCATCCTTTTCTGGAGATGGAAAGTAAAAATATCTTTCCGGTTTGTGGTGATTGTTATGAAGCTTTGAATGAGGCCTGCACATAAGGCAGGCAGGCTGTTTACTTGTTTTTGTACTCTCATAAGCTTGTCTTCCACTGCAACGTCTTTGCAACGTGTGACTTTTTTCCTTTTTAGGCCACTTGTCCCTCTGGCAGTTTTTTGTGTTTCTGAGAAACAGTTCTCTTGTCACTTTGTCTGTCTTCATTGTGTCTCCATTGGTCTCCCTGCGGGACTTCAGAGGAAAAACTCATGTCCAACATTGCCTGACTCTGTCACAGGTGGGTGGGTGATAAAACTCTTAAACCTAGATGATCTAAATGTTTTTTTTTTAATTATTATTACATAAACAAATAAAATGTATCTGTTTTTAATTAATAACAAACTGATTTTTTTGTACTCCTATCCTGTCACTTTAACAATGTTGCGCGTACGATGTTATGGCCTTGTTAGAGTCCCTGTGGTGGTGTCGGCTTGTTTGCCATGCTTGACCCCTCACACCAGAGTGACCCTCTGAGACAAATGCACGGCATAAGAAAACACACTCACACTCGCAAATACACAGACACATGCATGATGCTTTGCATCTGTATACACACATGCTGACACAGAAATGGAAACAGAAAGGGCACTCACACTTCATCTGCCTCACTACGGGTTTATTGGGCTCCAGCCAGTGCTGAAAAAGAGAGAAAGACCAAAAATGTTACCCTAAAATAATCAAATTTATACTAAAGAAACTACAGGACTGGATTGAGAGCTAATTCAAAAATTATCTTAGAAAATCTCATTTGTATCATTGGTAGATCTCTGGTATTTTAAACTGTCATAAAAAAGATTATTACTACATTATTACTTTAAGAGATTGATTTAGAGATTTAGGGAGACATGATGATCTTATATTCCTGAATAGAACCAAATTTGACCTTTTTGATCCATCTTACTGTCAAAAGCATACAATTCAAAGTATTATGTTACAGTTTCTGGACTGCATGACACTGCATGTTCAGTTTGTCTTAAAACACATTTTCCCTTATTTTTCCTTCCTTGCTTTGCATTAAGAAAAAAAACCAGTCTAGCTGAGCTTCTGCTACGATCAAGCGTCTGGTCTGTTCTTTGTGTGGGCTGTTTGAAATATGGAGACTGATCTTGTTATTATTTGGCACTTGAACTTGTAATGTAATGTATCAGCTGCTTCCAGACTGATATTCAACATTCATACTTTGCCTGTGCTGACTCACTGCCACTGTTTCCTGTTAGTAGGTGTGATTCTGCCGTAATGAGCTGAGTGCTGTGTATAAGTGGAATTTCTAAATTGAGGAGAAGAATTTGTTAGCCGGGGTAAAAGAGCAGCCAGATTTAGAGGAAGGAGACTCCTCAAAGATTACAGAGAAAAAGATGCTGCACCTTAGGCCTGATTTAGACTTCTGCTGGTATATTTTTAAACCTTACGACGTGGCAGACGTCGTTGCCGGCATTTATGCTTGTGCTTGTGCCCCCAGGGTCTGGTTTTTCCACTTCCTTTCACATTCTCCTACGTCAGTTACGATAGCACTCTCCGTCCAGGTATCTGCTGACATTTGTGAGTCGTTATATTGATATATATTGTTATCCTTAATACTGAGATGATAAATGTTATTCTCTCACTGATAGATTCAAAAACTATTACAAAAAAGTAGCCAGAAATGCACATGAGCAATCAGTGGTGCTGAACAGTAGGGGTAGGGTAGGCATAGTGTTTCAGAGGGCTTTGTGGTTATGAAGCAGATTTTCAGCAGAATCATAAATCCCCACTTTACTAAGATGTGGCTGTTGGAAAACTAACCACATACTTATAGACTGAAGTCTTCAGTAAAAAGTGAAAAATGCGGTTTGAAAGAACTTTTCATAAACATACATTTCTCTAAATATAAGCGTTGCTCTGACCGGCTGTGTAGGTCCTGTGATCACTCCTCTGGTAAAGAAGAAAACTCTGGTAACACCTTTATGCTTTACCATTAGTGTTTCCAACTTTTATTTTAGGTTTTACAAGGAAAATGCATGTTTGGTTTGATAAATCCACATCTAGTTAATGTCCCCACCTCAGTTTGGCTTCACTTGGACAAACAAAAGATCTGGGCTCTGGGAATAAATGACAGGCTTTTCCTGATCCTTTGTACAAACTAGTCTCAATTGGTAATGAAAATGATAACAGATACCATGGTTATGGTGTGTGCAGTGTGCACGGACAGGTTTGTGTGTGTGTATCATAGTTACCCTTTGTTTCTCGGGATCTACATATCGAATACCAAAGTAATCTTTCTCAAGCAGGTTGTAGTGATTGCACACATGGTCCAACAGGAACTGGCCTCTGGTGTCTCTCTGCAAAGAAATAAAGCGCATCGGTTTAGGACACGTGACCCGTCTTTTGAGTTATGCTGATAAAAACCATAAACCTCTGAGCTCAGTCTGATAGATGCTGCATGACTGCATTGTGCCCACAATGAACCCTCATGGGTAATACTCCTCTGATGCTCTCATAATTTCATCACGGTGAAACATGTTAATGGAAAGAAATATGTCAGCACCCTTTTGGTCCCTTGCTGCTGACATATCTGTTATGATGGTGTTCTGGACACGGCCTCCTAATGTGCCAATAAATACAGTCTATTTGCAGGACCTAACACTGTGTAATCAATAAGCACCCTGCATTTAATGCCAGCTGCTTAGTCAGTATCTACTCATTCAGATGCTCAGTATGATTTTCCTGCTGAGTGTACTGACCTGCCTACGTCTTAGCATTCTCTATAACTTTGGATATATCTAAAGTCTAAAGATTTGCTTTTTGTCTGCCTATTTTATAGACAGTGTTTTTGTTGTTATTATATTGTACTTGCCCAAACCGTCTAGATTACACCACACCTGACACCAAATGTCAGCTGGGACAGTTGGATGAGCAGTTTTAAAAAAAATTATGCTTTTTAGCTCATTTAAGGAAATACATATCAAAACAAGTACACATTAAATTTTTACCTTTAACCTCTTGACTAAAGCTAATATTATGTGCATCAAAGATCCCAGCTCTGAGTGTGTGTGTGTGTGTGTGTGTGTGTGTGTGTGTGTGTGTGTGTGTGTGTGTGTGTGTGTGTGTGTGTGTGTGTGTGTGTGTGTCCTATAACTGCTCTATAACCTGCTGAAGGAGGTGGATTCTGTGCTTGGTTTAGCAGAACTGATTGATTCACTCAGATATCATGTCTTTGCCCTTGAGACTGGAATTTGCTCATCACCCGGGAAGCATCAGCGTCATCACATACAGTCAGACCCACAGCTGACCAAATCTCATCAATAAAACTGCCTGTCAGCACATCGCCTAATCAGGAAACTTTAGTTGGGAATTTGGATTTTTATAGCACTTCCTAATATAACTTTCAGTCTAATTTGTGTCTCACTTCCTTTAACATTCCTAGTTATGCACTACCTAGAATTATTTTTATTACCAGGTGAATTTAATTATGCTGGAATTTTAGGTGAAAAACGTTGAAATTCCATTTAATTCTAAATGAATTAGACTCTTAGTTAAGGGACATATACAGTCTTATTGAATATAGCAAAAAAATTGCACAAAAGCAAAAATGCATTAACATATTTCACGTGATTGCACAGATGGATGTGCTAAGGACGGCTACATTTTGTGCACTGAGTAAGCAGCACACTCACACGTTAAAAAGCACGACTGTGTGTCAGTTACTTCTAAAATTTATTCAGCTGCACTAACAAAGTCCCGTTCCCTCTGGCTTGACCAGGTCTCGCTTGAAAAATAGTTTTTAATCTCGATGAGGCTTTTATCTGGATAAATAAAGGATGATAAAAATAAAGTTCATCTGGATTGAGAATGATCTGTTTCAAAGGTTATAAGAGCATCCTATATCCTTATGGTGCTCTTTTCTGTCCAGTGGCTGCTTCATCAGCAGTGGTCAGTATGAACAGCACCTCATCAGCAGCCAAGGTAAGGTCGTTAGCTTTGCTCTTTATTTCTATTTTCAGAGATTTGCAAGTGAAATGCAGTGTAGTGGCTGACATCAGCTGACTTTGTTAAATGGCTTTAACAGAAGCACATTTTCAGCACATTTGCACGGCTGATTGTTTGTCAGACTAACGGCCCTGAGCCTCAGATGTCCCATATATTTGACCGGATTTTAATCTTTAAGAAAGCAGAGCTTTCTTTTTTTTGCACTATTTAGGAAAATTTTCCTGCTCTGATTTTCCTCATTATTCTTTTTCCCACATTGTTGGAGCTACAGTGCAAAGTCTGCAAAGAAAAGTAGCATGGACCATTTTCCATCTGGTTGCTCCATCAGCTCTCAACTATTTCATCAGTTTCGGTGCAGTAATGTAGCTGCTTGGAGTTTCTAATTGCTTTGTGCACTAATGTTACAAATAAATATCTTTTCTTTTTTTTACTGAAATCTAAGGTTGTGCCTTTAATCTTCCTGATCTAATGTAAATCTTAAAGGCAATTGTGTGTCTTTTTTTTTTTATATTATATGTGTTTTCTGCTTGTAGGTAGACAAAAAAAACCCAAAAAAAACCAAAACCATTTCTCAATTAAAAATTAATTTCTTTCCAGGCACAAAGCCCATGCAAATATTTTGTACTAATACTATATGCCTAGAAGTTACACAGCATCTACAGCCTTTATTTTAAGTACATCAAAGCATCATTATCATCACTGCAGCATGCCACAAACTGTGAAATCAGTTCATTTGCTGGCGTTGCATTCACTTATCCTCAGTTTTACACAAATATTAATTCCTGTTCATATGTTGAATTCTGTAAATACTGTAATGTTTTTGCCAAGACAACCTTTTAAATACATTTCTTAGTGAGTCATGCTGCATGTCTCAGTAAACAACTCAGCAAACACACTGTTATATGTACTACTAGACTCAAGGTGTTGACAGAACAGCCTCTGAAAATAAGATGTTTGCTGTAAATGTCACAGCAGCCACTCAAAAACCAACAGTTATATGTGTCCAGGACACCGTGGCTGTATTTGTTACGCACCAAATAAAGCAAAGCAAACATTAAACACAGCCTTAGTCAATTCACAAAGATACACTGTTGTAACAGCCAGAATTTCCAGGTCAGTGCAACCAACAGTAAAGGAGAATCAGCTAGATTGTTTATCAGTGCTGGGAGTACCAAATTACTGCTATTTAAGAAAAAGAGGTTCAAAAATATAAATCGTCTGTGTCTTAACATTAAGACGACTGTGTTAATGTCTGATACCTGCACAGGTATCTGCAGGTGGTTTGAAACATGAGCTGCCTCTGAAGTAGCCTTATTTTGGTCAGTGTACTTTTGCATTAGCCAGAGAATACATGTAAAGATGAGCTCAACCTATTAATATTCAACCTGTTCAGTGGTCCTAAACAGCTTCAGGCAGAGGAGTTAACTGTTACCTCAATGGTAACAGTTAATGCATACATGATTAAAATACACAAATGACTCTAAAACCAGGTACACAACTACAAACATAATTATTAGCTAATGCTATGCCTAAAACAGTTTGCTAAAAGCACAGGATGTATTTTAACTTCTTAAAGTCCATGCTTCTTAGCTAATAGTGTTATTTATGAGTTGAAATTACAAACTAAATATAGTGGATAAACAGCTTTGTTACCTGAAATGATAAATAAAACCTTTAAATTATTTTACTAAACATGTGATTAGCAGAGAAACTGCTAATGAACCAGGCGAAATTGTAAAGTATGGTTAAACTGCTAAAGGTAAGATTAAAAAAGAAAGACTTAAACACAATAATGAATGAAGTAATTGCTATAGCTATTAGCTATAGCTGTAAAATGATCAGGGTTTTTGAATCCATCTGACAGGGCTGCGGTCATCACAGTCACATCACCACCTCTTAAGATTAAATTTTGATCAATCTGTGACACAACCAGCAAGGAAATTGGATTGTGGTTCTGGACATCTGACATCCTTTGAATAAATCCAGGTCCTGAGATACAAAATGCTCAAATTTGTTTGCCAGCTAGTTGCTAACTGTGTCTGATTCTAAGTGGATTAGTGCTGAGCATACAGCAGATTTTTGTTTTATAGATTTTTGAGTCAATAAAGAGGCCTGTTGCAAGCATGTAACAACACTACAACAGCACTCAGACAATAAAGTTGTGACAGTTCAATGATGAGCCGTAACTCACTGTAAATCCTCGTAAAGATAAGCGGAGCTGCTGACACCACTATGCAACTATTTTCACACCATCATTAAATATGTTCACCTTTTCCTTGGTGAAACCTGTCCAGTTTAATTAAACCATTTTTTATATAATATGTGACGTGGAGGACTTTGCAGGGGTGTTTGGTTGAATACAAGATGCCAAAACTGTATTAAAAATCTTCAACAGCAGTCTTAGGTGGATTTCCCCTGTGGCCTGTGTTATATCACCACAACATCAATTGGCTGTCAGTAATCCTGTTTGCTGCATGTCCCTACTGGCTGGTCCAGGTTTACCAGTATATCACCAGTAACATTAGTCAAATGTGTCCAAGCTGCGATTCTCAGTGTGTCCATGTTCACCTGTGGGTTGTATGTAAATAACCTAGAAAAAAATCACTCTCTGTCTCTTTAAGCTGCATTTCTCCATCAGCATCCATGCATTTTGATGTGTATCTGTCTACATCTCTTTAGGATTTTTTTGGCTGATCCCTGACAACAGTGTTACTAAGATGTTAAATCTGAAGAGAAAACAGAGAGAGATCCATGGAGGGAGGAGAAAAATAGACGAAACGGAATAAAAACAGCCACGCTGTGAGCTGATTCCAGCCAGATCATCAAACGACACCTTTTCTCCGTCTAGTTCTCGGGCAGACGCTCGTGGAGCAAAGAGTGTTGGACTGACGCCAAGCGAGAATAAAGAGAAACAAACCAGACAGAGTGAAACAGGGCCAAACATACTGAGAGGCTGAGAGCAGCTAACATAGAGCTAAAAGAACGAGTGAATAAAAAAGAGAGACTGACTGGTGAAGCAGAGAGGAAGAGAGATGTAAAGAGTCTATGTCATGTCCAACAAGGCCTGAATACATATTTTATATATCCAAAGGCTGGGCATTAAAGATTAACCCAGTCATCCTGTCTCTACATGATCTCACCTAATGATGGCAAAGTGCTCTTCTCTCAGCCCCGCTCAAAGACAGAGACGCATACACACTCTGCAAATAGAACCTCAGTGTGGAGCGAAGTCAGTTTAGCACAAGCAAAGTGCACTTTGACATGTGTGCTCGAGTGTGTGTGTCCATCCACTACCATGGTTAACCTCCTTACAGCCAGTCCAGTCCAAATTCTGGCCAAAAAAACATTAAGA